GCCTAGGGTCACTACTGTTGAGGGTCCTTTTCTATTTAAGCCCCAGAATGCATCTGCTGGTCTGGGCTGCTAAAGGAAGGTGTCACACAAAGTCCCTGGCACTTGCTCTGTCTACTCAGTTGTACTTTCCTTGGTGCTACCATCGGCCACATACCTTGGCAAGCATGTGTCAGAATAAATTACAGTGGCCCAAAATTAGGCCACAGAATTCTGTGTTCTCTGCGGGGGATATGTGATACCCTGCAAGCCTTGTGGTGTGTAACGTGACAGACAGGCTTAGTGTTTTGAAGCTACCGCACAAAAATATTTAAAAAGACCTTTTAAAGACAGACTCTGTGTTCCAGTCTATCATTATCGTTTGAATGTTTTCAAAGTGCTTCTTACTGTGTTGCTATGCGGTAGTCTGTAATAGGTGGTTGCTAGGGGTTTTGCGATGGTTGCTAACAATGTTTGGTCATTAGATATGGCCCAGGTCCCTCATTCAATGCAAGTCTATTAGATTTTTTTTGAAACTGCAATTTTATATTCATCACCTGTTTTATTTATGTAAGTCGGACAAATATGCATCACATGAAGTTTAATAGTCTGTTAGTATTTGTGTTAAAAGTGTCATCTAATGGATGGAAATTTTATATGCATTTCAAATACACCAATCTTAAAATCCCCAAAATGTTTGAGTGGTTACATTTTTTCAGAAATCCTTAAAATCCAAAGGAATAGTTTACATTCTGACTCTTAAAGGAGTAGTTCACTTTTTAAAAAAACTTTTGCTGATAATTTACTCACCCCCATGTCATCCAAGAAATCCATGTCTTTCTTTTTTCAGTCGAAAAGAAATTAAGGTTTTTGATGAAAACATTCCAGGATTTTTCTCCATATAATGGACTTCAATGGGAACCAAACGGTTCAAGGTCCAAAAGACACTTTCAGTGCAAACTGTAAACTGTTCAAAGGGCTTTAAATGATTCCGGACAATGAATAAGGGTCTTATCAAGCGAAACGATCGCTCATTTAATAAATAAATAACAAATTTTAAGTTTTATAAGCTCAAATGGTCACCTTGCTCTGTTCTGTGATGGTCGTTCGTGACTCTCCTGTTCGAACTCGTTCATCAAAATGAACGAATCTTTTTTGTGTCATTTGGTTAATTCAACGAACGTAATGAACGAGTTGACTCTGGAAAAGATTCATTCATTTTGATGAACGAGTTCGAATAGGAGAGTCACAAACGCACATTACACCCTAACCCTAACAGAGCAAGGCCACCATTTGAAACTTAAACTTTTTTTTTTTTTTTTAAATGAGCTATCTTTTCGTTTGATAAGACCCAGTTTGCAGTTTGCACTAAAAGTGTCTTTTGGACCTGAAACCATTTGGTTCCCATTTAAGTCCATTATATGGAAAAAAATCCTTTTCATCAAAAACCTTTTTTTTTTTCGACTGAAGAAAGAATGACGTGGATTTCTTGGATGACATGGGGGTGAGTAAATTATCAGCAAAAGTTTTTTTAAAAAGTGAACTACTCCTTTAACCTAGAAGCCAAGTTTACCCTTCTGAGTCAGGGCGTTGAAATCGATATGAGCAATAGTAATTTCACTGCTATTGTTTGCCTCATTAAGCAATATGTAAACATAAACCAGTTCTAAATATAGTTCAAGATCAAACTGCTGTGACCTCAGAACTTCATGTCTGAATCATTGACTTGACACAAATCAGCAGACTAACTGTCCATATGGAGAATGTTCAAAACCATACAGTAACTTCTTTCTAAAGGGGGAAATGCTCTTCACCTTGAAATAATCCAAATGACATCATGATTGCTCAGATTACAGCTGTTATGAAAGCAATTTTTGAATAAAATCAAATATTTACAATTTATTTTTATTCTTTTTTGTTTGTTTTGTTTTTCATTGATATTGTGAGAATTTAGGCGTTAGGCTATTTGGGCTATCGAAATAGTTAATGACAAAATAAAAATCATTTACTCTCCTCATGTTGTTCAAAACTTGTTACTTGTAACTAGAACCGTAGTGGTTCAGTTTGGCCACTCCCAAAATTACAAATAAATAAATAAAAGTCATGACTGTTCTATTTGAAGTCTTTTTTCCATGAAATAACTTAGTGTGCAAAACACACTGAATTTTAAGTTCTAATTCATTTTGTATTGTACAAGGTTTCTTTGGCATGTTCATCAAAATAATTCATTAATTATTCTTTTGAATCAGATAGCTTCACAAAACATGATTTGTTCATAAATCAGACTCACTCTGACAACATAAAATTCTATCGGTATGTCAGAGAAATTACTTCTGAAAATTAGAATTTAATGTAAAAGTTATAAATACAGTAAAGGCTTGTTTTATATTTCATAGAAGAAAGCATGGTTTGGAATGGCATAAGGGTGAGTAAATTATGACACACACCTTAACTTTTTCATCGATAAACCATTTTTGTTTCAAAAACTAGCAAATAATGTAAAGAAATGTTCTGAAGCACGCAAAAGGGTTTTCGTTCAAATTTTATTTTATGTAGAGAGCTGCACAAAATCAATGAAAGATAAGCAATACCTTTCATTTGTATGTAAAAAAATTCTGAATGCCCTATCCTGATTTTGTCATTGGGAGAAAAGAGTTACAGTCTGTAGGAGCTCTACACATCCTTAAAATACATACATACAAATATAATTACTCTAAGGATTGACTGGCACACTAAACTAAGTCAGGCATCTGTAATAATACTCAAAAGTATTTGCATGAAAGAGGCTGTACGTGGTACAGTAGCTGCACTGGATCTCTTGTGACCTTTTGGAAAATAATCATGAGCTGTATATATTATATTTATAGAAACTACTGACTCTTAAAATACACTTTTTTTAGAAATATTAGAAAAGTGTTTACCACAGTCCTTGAATGCAGAATACATTCAAGTGTATCAGTGTATCTCTGTTTTCAGTGTAGGTGCATGTTTATGAACATGTTCAGGAGAGATAATGCTTGGGCACTTGAGAATATTTAAGGCTTTGTATGAGCATTTAAACATCCAAGTAAATGCTATTTCTGCTCCCTTTTTTGGTCCATGGCCTTCCTAACTTGATGTTTTACTGGATTCTTGGATGCTTTCTCTTTGGAATAGGCCCTCTGAACATTGCTGTAATACTGATGGGAATACCATTTCTTTTTAATTCAGAGGTTACATCTAGAGCATTTGATTAGCACCATTGACATGAAATGCTACCAACTCAAGCCACCAATTTATATGAGGATTTGAAACTCCTGGTCTGTTTAGAGTCACCAGAATGTTCCGCCAAATGCAAATTTCTCGTTATGTGTCTGTTAGTGAGTTCAATGTTGAAGACTACGTAATGAAGGTTCCCAAATGCAGGCTCAAATAGAATGTAATCTTTCTCTGATTCCATTCCAAGAAAGCAGAGAACAGCAAGCGATACAGTCCTTTGACTAGTCAAACCACCAAGAATTCCCCAAACATCTCATATCCATTTCTTTCATCAGTTTGTCCATTTATAAAATCTCTTTGGCGCATTCAGAATGGCAATGTGTCCATGAAGATTTTATCCACAATGGGTGGAGGTGGGACCAAGTCTTCCAGTTTAAGATAGAAGATTCGCTGGAGGCCCTGGGTGCACAGTGTTCTCAGCTCCGGAAGCTTGCCCAGGAGTCGGGACAGGTAGTTGGGCCGGGTGGCCTCAGGGGCACTTGTGGAGACGTGGTCTCTGAGACACGTGACCAGGCGGTTTTGGAGGTCTTCGATCCGTCTGGGCTCTTTCAGGCCGTGCCGATCTGTTGGTCACAATCAGGGTTAGAGATTTGTGTGGGATAAACATATTTCTAAAAAATAGAAACAGACTAAAAGACCGTAATTTACCTGTGATTATGACCAGTGTGGCAAGACAGGAGAAAGACGACAAATCCAAGTTCAAGCGACGTAAACTCTGAGAGAAGTCCATAATGGAGTCGATCCAGTCACCAAAGCTTCGTACGCACTGCGTCCGGTGCAGAACCACACCGTTGCAGAAAATAAGTTTATCTGTCTCAGGGGTTGACCTAAATGAGATGCATGAATTCTTAGTCACCTCACATAGTAATATTAATACTGAATTCATTGTCATATGAACTGACTCGTACCTGTAGGCCAGCCGAAGTATGAAGAGCTCGACAAATGCTGACTCAAGAAGAAGCTCTTGGTCCTCCTTACAGAAGGCATTGAATCCAGGGATTTTTTCAGCCCACTTCCTGATCACATCCATTGACCCTGTTAGCAGGTCATAAAATTGTTGTATGTCATTGGCATCCTCCTTCTCAGACAATCCAGATACTGATTCCTGATACTAGACAATGACCAAAAATACAATATATGAATTAACATTGCAAGTGGACTGAAACAATCATTTTATTTCAGATTTATGAGGGTTAAAACTTTGAGGGTTAAAACAGATTGTTGTGAAGCTTGTTCTGTCCTCACCTTTGAATAGTCTAGAGTTCCACTGGCAGGGTTTGAGTCCATATGGGCAGTTACGAGAGAGGCAATGATGTTGACAGGTGAAGAGACAGACAATGAGTCCTGAACCGCTTTTGGCTTGGACGGAAGACGACCTCTTCTACCTTTCAGGCTGTCTGTTCTCACAACTTGAGGGAAAATAGGTACACTTATTAAAATTGCTTTGATGGTAAGGGGGTGCTTTCATTTAAATATATATATATTCTCACCTTCTTTCACCATCCCGACACCTAGGCACTTTTGGAAGCGACAGAACTGGCACCTGTTTCGCCGCCTTTTGTCCACTGGGCAGTCCTTGTTGGCGAGGCAAACATATTTAGCGTTTTTTTGTACTGTGCGCTAAAAAAAAAAAAAGACAGAAGGAAAACCTTAAAGCTCGTCATCAAAATGAGCCAAATACAAAATGCTGAGGTGAATTAACATGACATGAATAGCAATAATAATTGTATCACTCTCTCTCACCTTAAAAAAGCCTTTGCATCCTTCGCAAGTTCGCACTCCGTAATGCTGACAGGAAGCGTTATCTCCACACACTGCGCAGCGTCCCTCGTTTCCTGTGGGGCTCCTTATTTTTGGAGACAGTTGTCCATCCATCAGTCCCGAGCCATCCCGACTGCCCTGCTCCAGGCCGAGTGGGCTGTAGGGAAGCGGAGAACCGTGTTGCTGGGTCTGAGAAAAGAGGTCCTGATCTGGAAGTTGTGGCGGCAGCGAGCTGCGATGAGAGAGCTCGTCGACTGTGACGTGCCCGAATGTGAAGAAAGAGCCAGTCTGGTTCAGAGGCTTCTCTGAACCCCAGCATCCCTCATCGGGGGAGCAGGGACTAAATGTGCTATCCCAGGCGGACATGTGCTGGAACCCCGGGGTAGAGGGTGACTGTGCAGACGCCGGACTTCCAAAGCAGTTTGACCCACCTGAGGAAGACAACGTCTCGTCTAGGTAACTCAAGGCGAATGTGCCTGGGTAACAGCCGTACACCTGGAGGTCGTCCAACTTGAACGAGTCTTGCACAGAGGTGCCACCAGCAAAGGTAGAAGGAGCGCCCGTTGCGATCTGGCATGAGTAGGTATCAAACTCGCCAACGTAGCCTCCGACCAGAGAGGTGATGCTGGGCAGGGAGGGTGTGGAGAGCTGGTCCAGCTGGTCAGTCACATCCATGGCCAACCTGGAGGTGAAGTCAGGATTCAAAAACTCTGAGCTGAAGAGGGAGCTCTCATAGGTCTGGACTCCATGTTGACTTTGAACACAGGTCATTTCTGTAGAACAGAACCACAACATCTACTTTTCAATACCGTAGATATTGCCGTGGAAAAGTCTAATGCCTCGAGAGCTGAACACACCGCTTTCTAACCTATACCTAGACAGACTTGCTTGCCGGCCAAAAGGTGTATAGACACAGTTCTCTGAAGTCCCTTGAGATTTCTGAGAAAACTTAGACAGCCGTCTGGCTGGAAAGAGCAGCCATGCTTATTGTGTTACCACATTAAGAACGTCAGACGAACATGACATGTGTTGCCTCACTGAGGGGGCGTGTGTGTTTTTGTGAGGGCGCATGTGAGTGGGTGGTGTAAGTATATGGAACTTTTTTAGATAGACTCAAATTTCCCCAGTTAAATCAGACATAGCCTAGTGTTCCATATCGTACATGATAAGATAAAGTAAGGGTTTGCTCAAATAACTGTTTGCCATGAAGAAATGCTTATATTAAGAATCATATTACATTTCTGCTCCACATGGGTTAAATCTTTAGAATGACAATTAAACATTTCTAAAATGCGCCAATATCAGTTGTAAACGTGTTTTAAAAGAGTCATTCTGCAGAAAGTATTTTTAAAGCACTATGTAAATGTGAAAGATCATTATGGCTTAGCAGTTTGACAGACATTCATGACCTTGCACACAGAGCAAGGTGAGAACATGACACCTAATGATCATAAACATGTCATATATTGAATAAACTTGTAAATGCATTTGCAATATGTGTTTCTTAAAGTCAAAATGAATAGGTGGTGTGACTGTCTGGAAATTTTTAAAAATAATATCAAGCCAAAAGCCAAGTCATTTTGCTGACAATAAATAGGCTACATAGGCCTAAGTAATGTTTTTTTTAAAGTAAACAAATAAACAGACAGGACTCCTTAAGACCCTGAGAGTCAATGTCATTATTATTATTATTATTATTATAAAGGTCGCATATTTTGACCTCTTTATAAAATGACTCGTTTTGTTCAGGTGAAGAAAACGTCTATGTTTATGACTCAAAATGGTATTGGTAAAACAAGATTAGCTTGAAACGTTTCTTTTAATTGTGTGTGCAGCAAATGAAGGTGTGTGATGTGAACCGTGTTATATATATGTGTATGATTTAAATAGACAAAGTACAGTCAGGTTTAAAAGGAGAATGCGCGCAGTTAAGTTGCGCGAGCACCTGTTGCATCGTGACACTGCGCGTGCAGAAGCGCACCACTGTACCCCACACACACCCCTCTTAGTCTATAGTCTTTCATTTCGTACGGTTTCTCAATATCCAAATTGTTTTACATTTGAAATGCCAGAAGCCAACTGAGTTTGCGCATTTAACTGTGGCGGATACGAACAGTGCTAGTTTCGGAATTACTCGTGCGCACCATGAAGTAAAGCCTAAACCATTCATAAATTAGACCTCAACCTTAATTATTTCAATTCTTCAACACATACACATAATTTTGGTTACTAAAACACATTTGGTTTTCGTGTAGGTTTTAAAAGAAGCATAAAAACAGAAACAATAGCCTATAAATGACTTCCGAATTTATAAAAGCAAAAATACTTACGTACCTAAAAATGTACTGTGGTGAGGGACCTGTCAGCGTCCGTATTCCAACTGATGGATAATCATGTATAACGTCCCCGGCAACGACAAGACGGTTTTCTCATTTTTCTGTGAGCGAGCAGATATATAAGCGAGTGCTTTATTCTGCCGTTACGTCAGAGGTGCATCCTCTCGAGGCGTTCCACTGGCAAATATGGCCATGCAGGGGCGGAGATCCTCGGCAAATCTTTCCGGCTGCCGACCAATCAGAGCGCTCGCTGTCAAGAGACATGACGCACACACGGGATTCCATTGACGCAAGCAATCCGCACGTTTATTGTTCTAATTATAGCAGCGTACTGATGTGCAACTGCCTGAATTTAGTTAAAAATAGTGAGGAGAAGACACAAATAACTAGCCTATAAGCAAAGATGAGCAACAGAAAGAGTAAAAAGAAACACATAAACAACGTTTAATCACAGGATTTACTGATTGAGGAAAATGTAAAGGTGTCTTATTTTTGTAATAAAATTTGAAGTAGCCTATATATATTTATATATGCGTGTGTGTGTTAATAAAATCTATATAGGTTACTTTACATTTCTTTGTTAAATTTTCCTCTTAATTTCTCAGTTATTATTACTGCTTCTGAATAAGACACTTTCCTCCCCAAGAAAACCACAAAGAGCCCACGAGGAGAGGGTAGGGCTACACCTGCACTGCACAAGAGGAACGTGTCAAAACATGAAAGTGTGTCGAGAAAAAAAAAAACTCGGAAGTCAGTGATGCTGAAGTACTACAATGCAGGGTGTGTGAGGTTGGGATTGACAGTGCCAGTAAACGCTACGTTTCGTGTGCCATGCGATGATTCTCAAGCTTAAATGTTTTCCTATTAAGTAAGAATAAAAAAGCAAGCATAACTTCAAGTCACAAATATGATTTAGTGAGTCTTGCGCCCTGCAACCACTACTCTTGAAGGTTTAAAAAAAAAAAAAAATTCGGAACATATTAAAATAGCACTCTTGAGCACAAATAAAACGATTTTAACAAAATATTCAATCTGAGGGGGAACCAAATGTGAAATTTTAAGAATCTGACATTGAAAATGGCCCTCTCTGCCACATACCTTATGTGTGCCATCGGCCTCAATCCATTTCACTTTAACTTGCAGATATAACTCATAAGATGAAAGACATTGACAAGTCTAAAAATATCCTGCTTCTGCATGTAGTAGGGCAGGTGTACATTTTCATATTAGTAAACAATGGGGGTCTTGTTGGCAACCGGGCTACAATAAATCAACAGCCAGCCATGCGTATCTGAAGGTGAGATGCTTGTGCTGCCATTTTAAAGAGCATGTCCTGATCCAGAATTGCATTCTGTGCTTTCTGAGTGTGATATATAGAGACCATGGCCATATAGGTTGTTTCTCACCATATACTTTCACATATAAGACACACAGTTTCCATGTATAATCCATTTTTCTCTGCCAATAACCTTTCAGTAGAACGTAGTGAGTGAGTGATCCATTCTTGCTAAATAGGTTAATTCAAGTGTAGGCCAAGTAACATGAAATACAGGCTGCTGAGTGCTAACACATATTTAAAAACAAGGACAGCAAGTCTTCAGAGGAATTCAGAGCAGGCCAACATAGTAGCAGGGCGCCAAGTTGTCTTGTGGTGGAACACAGATAATAGACTATTCTTATTTATATACAGCATGGAACTATTTAGTGATCTTTAACATTGGTTCTATTGGCCAAGTAAAATTTCAAACCAAAATAAATATCCAAAAAATGAAGCCTAAAATATAGGCAATACAACAAATCATAATGGCTGGCTGTACACATTCACATGCATGAGCTGCATTTATTATGCAAATGCAATATATATACAAATACAAATTATAATATGGTCTATTTATAAATTATTCTATAAGCAAATTTTAATATAGGCCTAACATTTTATTTTACAGTGTCCTTGTTACATAAGGCTATGTTAAATGTACTTATATAATAACATTAAAATGCACAACTAAATGCAACAACCCCTCAACCAAATCCTAATCCTACCCTAACCGTAGGCTATAGTGCAGTATTACTCATATAATTACACTGTAACTATGACATCTTAAAATAAAGTGTAACCATATAGTATGTCCTTGTGATTTTGGGGTTAAATGTCATGCTCTTGGAGGGTTTCATCCTTAAAACACACTTTATCGAAGTGAAGTCTTTCTTTAATCGGTCTTTCCTGATAATAGGCTATACTTGGTGTTTTCGCCTATTTCCTCACGCGGTCTGAATACTGAGAATTGGCTTTACCGCTTCTTTCCCCGTTATCACGAGATAGCATCTTTTTCCTGACGAGATTTTACTTTTGCTCACGAGATTGTTATTTCTTAAGGCAGCCGCGGAATCTCCTTCTTTCTTCCATCTGTGATGCGCAGACAGGACCGGGAGCCGCGCGCGCGCATCGGTGTTTGTGGAGATTCGCTTTTCCTCTTTTGACCACGCGGTTGGAGAAAAGAAAGGATGTGTTTGTCTCTGTCACTGAGACCAAAAAGAGGAAGCTCCGCCAATGACGCAACGAAGCGCTTTGGCTGACGTACAAGGAATCCCTTCCGCGCGCGCTGCCATATGGGGAAGCCCAGCCGAATACAGCCGAAGAGCTTGTTGCTAAATGACGCGACAGTTTTCCATTACTGCGTCCATTTACATCGTGCCGTAAGCCGGATCACGAGCTTAATTACTTTTAAAATAAACATTTTACGAACTGATGATAAAGTAAACGAGTACCGAGGGACAGTTACTGTTCAATTATCTTACAGCTGCTGAGCTGTTGGCACATAGGTTGAGCTGAACTTGTCACGAGGGGCGGGATAGGAAAAAGACGACGAGGAAGTGGTCACAAGACCATGAGAAAAACAGTGTGCTGCTGACACGCAGTAAGCGATCAAATCGGAACAGATGTTACGAGAAAAAATACAACCTAAAGTTACCTATTTTAAAGTAAGAAAAGAGTAGGCATATATTTCACAACTCAACAAGGCAGGCAAGTCAATATATTTTACTCCACATAGTTTGGCAACGCCGTAAACATTCAAAACCATTCTGTTTCAAGGGTGCATTCATTGCTGTATGCAGTCTACATAACCCTCCTCCTTAATACCTTTTACTCACACCTTTTCTATGTCATCATTGTCCATTGCCATTATTGTTGCTTGTTCAATGTAAAGCGTCCTTGAGCCCTGGAAAGGTTCTATAAATACAACTTTTACACAAACGTAGTTTTACACTTTTAAACACACTTTAGAATAAATAAAATAAGAAGATCCTCCACTATAGATACAAACATGTCTAAAAATGACACTACTGGTCATGTGATCTTAACATGGCAGTCACCTTGAGGGGGGACCTGTAAAATTAAACAGCCTTTTCTAGGCCACCAAAAAAGCTGCAGTGCGAATGGATATATTAAAAGCCACTGTGAACATTAGATTTTTCAAAACCACAATAAGGGTTTGGTCCTCCCTTACCATTTCCACTGTTCTGGCAAGACTTTCCATTAGATGTTGGAACATGGCTATGGGAATGTGCACGCATTAAGACACTAGAAGACATCGGTGTAGTCAGGCGCTGATGTTGGGTAATGGGTCTGGCTCGCAGTTTGCGTTCCAATTCATCCCAAAGGTTTTCAGTAGGGTTCAGGTTTGGCCTTTGTGGAAGCTCTTCTGCACTGCAACATGTGCCACATTGAAAGAGCTCTTTCATTCTACTAAAAAAATGTTTGTCTAAGGAGATTATTCATGTAACTATTAGATTTGGGTGTATGAAAAAACCCAAACCTGTTAAATATGAACTTAATGCACGTTATGTATTTACAAAAAGTACTAATCATTTCTTTGGATTAAATTTTTTTTTTTTGTAGTAGCCCTCAAACTGTATTCACTTTATAGCCCTTAATCCTGTAGTTGTGGACAAATGTGGGCACAGAGGACTCAGGAGTGATCCTAATTTTTATTTATTATAAATGTTAGGCTATATCACTGTCTTTGATAAAGTTTCGTCTATCCATTTATGGTGTTTTTTTTATTATTTGGGGGTATTTTTGAATTTATTTACTTCAAAAAGTACCATATTTTCTATATGTAAATTATGCTTATTTTTGTTTTATTTTTTTTTATTTTTTTAACTACATTAAAATCATTCAAATAAGTTCTTACAGCTAAAACCTAAAGATGAAGTGACTTTGCTGTCACCTGGTGTCTTATTTTAGAATGCTAAATTACAGCTTTTCCCATTCATTTCAATGGGTGCCCATTTTTTGACCCAAATACAAGATTAAGGAATTTTTTTCACCCGCTTAACATTGTAGAATTGAGTAAAAAAAATGTGTTCAGGAGGCAAACTTAGGAAAAGTAGCCAAGTCTTGTACCACTCAGATCAAGGGAAGTATACTATTTTTAAAAAAAATAAATCAAAACTATTTTGCCCACATTATTCCAAAATACGGTTTTAGTGTTAAATCACCTTTTTAGCAGAGGCATTGCTTAGCCAATTACACACACAGACATAGACACACACACACACAATTGCAAATCAGGTTTAATGGCAAAACTGACAGACTTCCAGCTTGCAATTAACACACATAAATACAAACAAAAGTAATTAAAAATAGCTTAACACAACAAATGGTTCAAGTGGTTACCCAAATTCAACTGAAAATCACATTTTTAATGACTTCTACAGTCTCAACATTATTCAACCCCTTAATGGCAAGCATCTTTAGTACTTAGTAGAACACCCTTTCACCCTTTTTACCCATTCCTTGTGAGCAATGTCCTCCAGTTCAGTAATATTCTTGGGTTTACGTGCTGCAACCGCCATCTTCAAAGGCCTCCACAGATTGTCTTTGGGGTTCAAGCCAGGTGACTGTGACGCCACAGAAGAATCTTCCAGGACTTCTTCTGCAACCAAGCTTTGGTAGAATTTGAGGTATGCTTGGGATCATTGTCTTGTTGGATGGTCCAATGACGCCCAAGCTTAAGCTTCCTCACTGACGGCATGACATTTCTCAGAGGATTTCCTGATACTTCAATTAATCCATCGTGTCTTTCACACACTGCAGATTGCCAGTGCCAGAAGATGCAAAACATCTTTTCAGGATATGCTTCATTCTCCGCATGTGTTTGGTGATATCTTCTCTTAACTTTTTGGACCATTCTTTGGACTTATTGTTTGACTTATATTTCTAACATGTAGTCAAATGTGATCCTCAAGAAACCTAGCCAGTTCAGGTATTTCATGTGTTCTAGCTCAATCCCACCTGGTGCAACTAATGAAGCCCTTGATCAAGTGTACTTTTACAGATTTGTGCTGTTGTGAGGGATTCTATTAAAGGGGTTGAATAATTTTGAGACTGCAGAATTAAAAGTTGTCATTAAAAGTTAATAAGAAAAAACTGTCATTAAAAGTTGCATTTTCAGTTGAATTTGGGGAAACCACTTGAAACATTTGTTGTGTTGACCTATTTCAATCACTTGTGTTTGATTTGTTCATTGCAAGCAGCTGAAAGTCCAAATTTTGCTAATAAACCTGATTTGGAATGGGGATTTAATAATTTTGATTACAACTGTATAGGCTATAGGCCCATACACTCAAAAAAATGCTGGGTTGTTTTAACCCAATTTTGGGTCAAATATGGACAAACTCAAACATTGGGTTAAAAATTTCATTAAAAAAATGGAACCCAATGGCTGCGTTTGTCCATATTTGACCCAAAATTGGGTTAAAACAACCCAGCATTTTTTAGAGTGTATACACACACATACTGTTCAAATGTTTGAGGTCAAAAATATAATGCTAACATTTTTTTATTAAGAAGCAAAACTTCTTTCAACATTAATAGATGTGTTTCTTGGGCAGCAAATCAGCACTAGAATGATTTCTGAAGGACCAAGTGACACTGAAAACTAGAAATTCAACTTTGCCAATACAGGAATAAATTAGATTTTAAAATGTATAACATTGTTTGTTATTATTATTATTATTATTACAGAGTTTGAGAGAATTGTGCCAGTGCACTGTTAATTTTTAAAGGTCTTATTGGATGTTTCTGGTCATGCAGCTGCTTTTGGATGAGCACATACCATTTCATTTCAATTCAGTCACATTATGCGCTATGGAACATCGCGCACTGGTCATTAAAACATATAGCACATACATACCCGGTTTCTGCATTCATTCGGGCACCTGTTGTTGAATCAAAGTGATTTACGTACAGCTGTTAGCTTACAGGGCAGAGCGAGCTCTCCCTGTCTGTATGCCAGTAACAGAATCATGTGGCTCTCCACAATCCAGCATGCTTGGAGAGCCTGGCTTTTGAATCAAATCAAGTGCATATCATCCCCTGAATAGTTGTCTCAGATAACTTTGTTGCTTAGCACACTGATTATGTAATGATATGCAAATGTGCTAAGATAAGGTCTCTTGACTTGGCTGGATTTTAAACTTGCCCTTGTCAGGATATTGACTGTGAGCACAAGTCCCAAAAGGCTTAGCCGAAGCCAGGCAGCTGCCTTATACCTCAAAGCTAAAGCTATCAAATGTGAACCTCCAACTTGATCACTGTGTTTCTATTTCAACCTTATAATGAGGACATGTGCTGCTCTTGCATTATTGTTCAATGCAATATTTTTACAAACAATATTCAGTTGTTGTAATATTCAACTGAACAATATCGAAATCAAACCTATGCCACTGGCCTGGTGCTTCCTAGAGTTCAGATATTCCCCCAGCAGTCTTAATTCACCATTCACCTTATCCAGTTCCACTCCTGGCACTCCAGAAAATAGATAGGAGGCCATATTTAAATATAGACTACATCACATAAATTACTCCTGTGAGTTTGTAAGGGGACCACAAGATACTGAGTCTCAGCTCTGTTGTCCACTGTGAATTCCGGTTTCGGCTGAAGATACGATGATTTCCCATGAGGCACCAAGATGACATAAACAGTATCATTTGGGTAGGGGGAAGCAGTAGACACTGACTTTAAATATTTTTTAGGTTAATTTTGGATATCAAAAATTCTGAAAAATAATGTTTTATATAAGATATTCTATTAAAGGCATAATGAAAAAACTTAAGTTTGTGTATAGTCATTTTCCATATAGTCTACCAGTTGTATCTGTTGGAAGGTTTAGCATGAAATATGTTTTCTTTTGCACTTATTGGCCATTGATTTATCATTTCAAATTAAGCCACTTTTACAGGAAGTTAGAGCCGGAGATCTTACACGCCCTCTGCTGGTGAGTTGTGCAGGTAAATTCTTACAAAAAACACACACACACATTGATTGGATTAGGGAAAATTATGTCGATTGTAGTGCTGTATCTGGTCTGTCAACAAGTTAGGATAGCTCGCAACTCATGGATGCACAAACTGAATTCTTACACACAGCTCTCAAATGAGAAGGATGTCTTTCCAAAGCCTTTGACACTCGATTCGTGTGGACATTTAGCACATGGTTTAGCAGCGTTGGTGTGAATTCATAACCATATTAGACCCCGGTGTGCCCTTTTTGAAACCCTATAGTTTTCTAGCGCCTGAAAGTGTCCTACTGAGTGAAACCAAATTACATCTGGAGATGTGTGTATGTGTGTGTGTGAGAGAGAGAGATTCTATAGCCAAACTCGACATCGAGGCTACAATCTTAATTAAAACATCTATGTCCATTTAACGATTTTAACAACAAAAAAACACCTTCGTATGTATTGTATGTTTGGATTTCCCTTTATTTTTCCTCATTACATCAAATCTGTAAATACATACACGTATAATAGTTGAATATTTATGCACTTTTATGTAACCTATAATTATACCACTCGGTTCATTATCTATCCATCTATGGATGACCACTGTGCAACATGAGGACACACACTGCCATGGAATAGTGTTAAGAGCTTGGCTCTTAGTTAGGTGGTGTTCAACTGGCTAAATTTCCCATAAACACTGGGTTATTTTGCTGTGTTGAATTTCTGCTCTGGGCAGCACAAGGTCAGGCGTCTCAGTTGTGTGAAGCTGTGGGAGAAGACTAGTCCTCAAGTTACACAGCTACTGCTGCTAATACTCCCCTAGCATCGCTTCAGGATGCATACACATGGACAAGGGTTATTTAACAAGGCACGGCTGGGAAACAGTCAAGAGGTGCCTAACAGTAAGAAAATTAAAAGGAAAACTACAACATACAAGTCTAACACAAGACAGGAAACATTTCAGTATGACTATGCATATTATGTGATTAGGAAGTCTTTAGAGTGAATTTGAACAAATCATACAAACACAACTTTTGTTACAGATTCTTCTACAAGAATTTGAGATGTTTTCACACTACTCACAGGGTATAAGAAGGAAAGGTAACTGTTGATCTTGGAGAAAGGCTTAAACCCGCCACTCCCGCACACCAGTGCATAAACTCAAAGCCTTTTACGGCCTCTTCAGTTTTCTTTACAGTACATTGTTCCAACATGCAACTAAATTTATAACTTTGCCTGCTTTAAAGGCTTTGAGAATCTTTCCTTTTATCACTGACATTGAACGCTAAAGCGATAACTTTCGTTATCAACGTTTAGGTTAAATCTTACATTTTCCTATTTGGGCTAAGAAAGACATTTTCCTATTTGTGCTTAATAATATTGGAGTCAGATAAATATTTGAATTATACACGCCATCCTTCAACTGCCTTTTGTTACAATTTATTGGTTCAAAATAACACTGTAAGCTTCCAGCCTTACAGTTTAACATAAATGATGAAAATAAAACAGATTTAGAATACCACAAAGTCAATACAAAGTTAAAAGAAGAAAAAATCATGAAAAAGTATACTATGTATTTACAACATGAAGCCATTTTTTTTTTTTCACTTTTTGGAAACATCTTAGCTTCCATTATTCTTGTTTGTTGACACATGATCAATAATAGTTATCACTCATTCATTATAATCATTCATTTATTTTAAGATTAACCCATAATTCAACATATTGTTTTGTTTGGTCTTGCTGAGGAATGAATGAATAGACCAAAAACTACATTAGCGTGCATTTAACATCTATAATATAGCCCGGGATAATCACAATATTATTTACAGGTGTACGTCACTTCCAAATACTTATAGACATCCCAACATTGATCAGAGAAGTCATAACTTGAAGCATGTAGATGACAAGACGTCCTCCCATCGCACCTTAAAAAACAGCAAACAAAAATATTATTTATTATTATTACCTTGTGTATCAGTCTGAGGTCTATTTGTTTCTCTCATATAATCAAATTTAAACTCAAATAATTTTTTGGTAATTTAATATATAGGATGACTGACAAAATCTACAGTATAATGGTGGGTGACGTGACTAGAATCTTATATCGCAATACTAGTAATTTTACTATTATAATAATTATTATATAGTAATTTTTGCTGTAAATAAAGTTATCAATTAATCCTTGTATTCGTACGCTAACGTTTCACACTCTAATTCACGTGTTTCCCATCACCATTTGACATTTCCCCTCAAACGCTGAAATGAAATAATAAATTATAAGCATCTAGTTAACATTCTAACACCGTGTCATTTCATACTGTACAAGTTGCACCGCTTTCACATAAGACATAACCAACTGTGTTTAAATATACTTGCAGAGATTGGCATTTTAACACATAAGTGTGTGTATTTAACTGTTCAATAAGCTGCCAAGCGGCTGTGTGACCAGCGGCTTTATGTGCGCATGCTTCTGGTGTGCACAAAAACAATCTCTCAGAAATTGCGTCGTTCATATCGAATTAAGTTCTTTATTGCACTTGAATGATTTAAAATTTCTTATTTTAAGCTTTTTATCTCTAAAAAAACGAATCCAAATGATCCACTTTTGTTACAATCAGATGAGCATAACAATAATAAAAATCTCTAGTGGTTGACAAATTCCTACCAGTATTTCATCCACCCCTAATTGTCCCGTATGTATATTTTGCGTAATGTTAGCAATAATGTTGAATGCATAATGTTGAAGATTGAATTTTATGTACGTGTTCTGATGTCTTAAGTGACTCCAGATGAAGTGTAGCTGATGTACCTGGAACGCAGGCTGCTGGTCTGAGGAGAGTAACAGTGTGGCGAGGTTGCTAATTTATGAGGGCAGGTTATAAGATCCCGACGTCCATAATTGGCATGATGAACATGAATAGTGCCAGTGTCTTTTGAAACAAAAACAGCACATTTTAAAACAATAATTTGTGACACCATACACTGTAGCTGGACTGAGGACCTTGGGGCTAAACAAAATGTTGTACCTTTTTTAAGCTACAGTATGTCTCAGCATAGAAAAAAAAAACTTACAGAAAGAAAAAATAGATCTTACCACAGATAATGATGCTTTGGGTTTCTTCGCAGATTATACTTCTTTCTAAAAAAAAATATGCATAGAAAAGAAAACATTATAGAAATGTATGATAAATATTATCAATTTCAAAATCTAGCATAAAATTAGCTAGTATAAAACCACTGGCTTACTTGCTGGGATACAGTCATAAGTTACATCCAGATACTTATAAGTCCCAAAACAAGGATCAGAGAAAACAGAGCTCTCTGCAAGAACAGAACAGGTCCTTCTTCCATCACACCTGATTCATGGGACAGACAATGTCAAGTTACATAGCTTTAATATAGACAAAATAATTACTAAAATGCATGAAATAAAAACTTTTTTTGGTAACACTTTACTTGAAGGGGTGTGCATAAGACTTCCAGTATGACACCTTCAAAACCATGACATTACATATGTTTTGAATATGAAGTAGGGTTTATGCATGCAGCAAGTGTCTTTCGCTCAATAATGACATTTTGAATCCAAATATGACATTGTTTAAGATGTCTTTGTTATGAAATCTTGACATAAACCATAACATCATAACCTGTCAGTGTCTTTGTCATGACAACTTGAAGTTAAACTGTCATGTGGTTGGCTTTGACATGAGGCCATTATAACAAATATCTGTGTCATGAATATTTTTTGTGACCTCAACAACAGTGCTAATTTAATTTGTCATTAAAAAGATATAATGGCTTCATGACATCCAATGTCTAAACCAACCACCTGATAGTTTAATGTAAATGTTAACCATTAAAGCTAAGTGGTTTCTTAAGTTTGATAATTAATGATTGTGACAGATTGTGTTGTCTTAGTAATGTCAAGTTGTCATGACAAAGACACTGACAGGTTATGATGTATTGGTTTATGTCAAGGTGTCAAACAATGTCATATTTTCATTAAAAATGTCCTAACTGAGCGAATGACACTTAATGACAGTTGTCACAAACATGCATAAAACTTGTCATGATTATGAAGGTGTCATGTTAGTCTTATGCACACCCCTTCAAGTGAAGTGTCACCCTTTTTTTGTGTGTGTGCTATGTGTTAATCCTACCGTTTGGACATTGTATAGAGGGATGTTTCTTGGAAGCAGTGTGTATTTGAGATCTGATTAGTTGGTTTCCCGCTAGCGCATGTTGTGTGATCAGTTCGCCCATAGTTGGCATTAATGACCTTTATGTATCCCAACTCTGACACATTTCAAGAAAAAAGAAAAGAAAAAATGAACATGAGAATTGTGGTAAAAGTTTAAGCACACTGTATATGGTTAAACTCCAGGCTCAAGATCCCCTCCTCATCCTGTTACTGTCTTGCTTCTGGTCTATCTCTATTTAGACACAAAAGGCTAAAACTCAAAAATGACTGAATTACTCACCACAGCTGAGGTACGCAGACCCTCCTCCACAGATCAGTGTTCTTTTTGCTTCCGCACCTGCAGAGAGGGAACATTTTGTTTAGGCGAGATGATATAAAATGACATGAATAAATTGCATGTCTTTTTTATTTAAAGGTGCAGTGTGTAGAATTTAGCGGCATTTAGGGGTTCGGATCATTCAAATCATTGGTTACATTGTAAGCCAATCAAATACAGTAACATCTGGTTATACTGTATGTAGATATAAATGTCTCATTCTAAGGTAATAAAAATATAGTGGTTCATTGAGGTCTTTATACACCACTGTACTCATAGTTATGGATCTTGTATTGCATTTCTGTCAAAAAAAATTACACTTTGCACCTTTAAAGAGAAGAGACTATAAATAATTGTCAACTGCCTTACCTTGTTGATATAGAAACAGCAACACTGAAAATCAAAAAGCAATAAATTGAAAAACTGAACATTTTAAATCATGCAAGTTGAATTGATTCCAAATCAATACTTACAAGTGATCCAGCTTAGCTTTTGCACCAGCATGTTGAATGTATAGACTATTTGAATGTCTGAACAAAAGGAAAACTCTTGAATTCTTTTAAGGAGACACATGTGCACACAGTATTTATAACAAACACAGACCCCGTTATCTGTTTACAGATAACAAATGCGGAAAAAGAAACGCATGATGATACAGTATGATAACTAACAGGTCAAACGTTTACTGTTAACGTGATTGAACTGAATTGAATTTATTTCCGCATAACCCCTTGATGTATCATCTCATTTTTATGGGGGTCCTGCACCTATATAGACACACAGTGAAAGACGAAACTTGCTCACCTGCCCTTGCACCACAATTAACATAGCACATACTGTATATTAAAGTATAATAATAAATAATCACCGAATGCATTAAACAACTAATGCGTAATTTATCAACATCCATATACTTTCCGAATGATATTATCAATGTGTATCTTAAAGGTAAAGTTTGAGTCGCGCCAAAGGCCCAAATATTTAAAGTCCTCCACAATCTTCATAAGGGACCTAAAAATCTTTATTTCAAAACTGAAAACACAATGGTGATTTTGAATTGATTGCCTGCTTTTGTACATTCACTCTCCCAGAGCTTTCCCGTCAACGTTTTCTGTGCTCATCTCGGACAGTCCAGCAAAGTGTTTCCCAATCCTGTTTCTGCAGACACAACGTGTTTTTGATGTTTTTATTAAAAAAAAAATAAAATAAAAAATCAAGCACATTTTGAATCAAACACATCTGATTCAACTCATCAGTTTGCTTGTAACAAACACAGACCCACAAATATCTGTTTACGGTAAAAAAAAAAGAACCACATAAGGATATGAAGACAAACAGGTCAATCGTTTATTGTTAACTTGATTGATTGTACTTTGAAAATGTTTTATGATTCTATGATATCCTATTTTATTGTTTTGTTCTATTTTAAGTTCAGTCACCTTTAGATTAAATAAAATTTCTGAAAAATGTGTTCTTGTTACGGTATTGCCTGCTTTTGTGCATTCACACATCCAGAGCTTTCAGTCACCGTGTTCTGTGCTCATCTCGGACAGTCCAGGAAAGTGTTTTCCAATCCTATTTCTTCCTATTTTTGATGTTTTTGTTGGATCTCTTCCTAATAAAACCCTAATAAAAAAAATCATCAGCTTGCTTCCTGGTCACGTTAGCAGTCCGACTCGCAATGATTTTTATGCCTTTGCCTCTCCTTGAACTGCAACCTTAACGTGGTGGAGGGGTTTGAGTACCCGAACGACCCTAGGAGCTATGTTGTCTGGGGCTATATGCCCCTGGTAGGGTCTCCCAAGGCAAACAGGTCCTAGGCGATGGGTCATACTAAGAGCGGTTCAAAAACCTTATGAGTAAAATTAAATAGAGGACCTTGATGTCACCCGGTATGGGTTTAAGATATGTTGCCATACATAGGCTACAACAGTGGATTTTTTTTTTTTGTAGAAAAAAAAAAATCCTTTTAAATTAGATTATTGATATCAAAATTGTATTTCTACTAGTAAGAAAACAATTCTTCATATCAACACTTGATTTTGAATGGGAGCCTATGGAGACATTTCACTAGTAAAAATATAATTATAGATATCAAGAATTCATATCCTGGAAATGAATAAAAGTTAAAATAGCTTTCTATGTTGGCAGTCCTTAACATATGACTAATCAACATTTTTATCACTAGCATTAATGCTGTTATTGTTACAGATAAACAGATTGCAGCTGACCTTTGTAGCTTAACAGTGTTTCCGCCTTGCAACACAGACATTTGATCGATTTACCAATTTCTTAAAAACATTTTCGAGCGGTGAATATGTCATCATAACTTAACTGAGGTGATGTTTGGATTGACGTTTTAGGCAGTGGCTCAGTGATTCATGTAAGTTGTCCACAAACCAAAAAGTTTCAATTCCTGGTTCCACCTGGCCAAGTGTCGAGGTGTCCATGAGCAAAACACTTAACCCCAGCTGCTCCCGACGAGCTGGATGGCGCCTTATGTGTATGAATGCGTCCAGCGCTGTGTGTGTATGAATAGGTGAATGTGAGGCAAATTTTGGTGGCCATTGGGTCTGTGAAAGCGCTATATAAATACAGTCCATTTAACCAAAGCACATCAGTGGCTAAACTAAGGTGCTTCAGTAAATAGAGGAAAGGAGTTTCCGAAGACATTTGCAGGATATGATAAGAAAAACTACAAAATTAAAAATATTATTTTTGCACTTGAAAGAACATTCTAGAAGTCTAATTCTATTGAATAAGTTTGCACAAGGCTACAGATAACTGTTGTGTTTATTTTTCTTCAAATGATGAGTTTTGAATGTTACACATTTTAAAAGCAATAAGAACAGCAAAAACATATTCAATGACATGTTGTAAACAACAATTATAATAAAATGTAATCTATAACATCAGTCAATATCATTAAAGCTATTGTCGTACGTTTTTCTCATTTTATGTTCGAAATGTGTGCGTTTGTGTGTGTCTGTATTATTTATTTATAGGGGAATTTTCACCCTTTGCAATTGCATATGAGTCCCTCAATTGTCATTATATTAGTGTAAAAAGAGCAGGGAGTGTTCAAATATGGAAAAGAGGCTGGAAAACCAATGAATGTGCCGGACCTGGGGAAATTTTCTGAAGAACATTGCAAACTGATTATTGCAAAAACATCACAGAAACTATTATCCACATAACGCAGGACACGGTATCAAGACAGTATCAATATCAACTTTTGAATATCAAGCTATAATTTTGTCTTGTGGATATGTTTTTGTATAGCTAGAATATAAAAATGCACTTTATGTCACCAATCTGATTAAATCACCAGCCTGATTAAACTGTTTTATTTATACATCTGTTATGTAAAACAGTTTAATCAGACTGGTGCTAAAAGTTTATATTTTAATATTTCTTATTATTTTGCAAAAATTACTAACATTTTGCACATTCTGAAAGCCTGTAAAAAAAGCACCTGGTTCGTTCTCATGGTTACCAGTAAACATCCAGGACGCTATGGCGACACGGTCCCCAGGTAATTTTTACCCATTACTAAACATCTTTTGAAACCAAAAATGAAATTTACAAATTGTTTTTTTTTTTTTTTTTAACAACGTTCAAGCTCCACTGTTCGCGTTCGGCAGCTGCCAGAAGCGTCTTATGTTCCCAACGCACTTTGCACCTAATCGCATGGGCTGCTCAACTGCTGGCTCCAAGGAACTAGGTCTAGGACCTGGATGGTACGACAACCACACGGTATGCAGGAAAGCAGGGCAGTTAGTAACTTATAAGTTAAAGCTGCAGTCCGTAAACTTTTTTTGTGTTAAAAATTTACAAAAAGTAGATCATAAAAAATGAGAACATTATGAAAGTGTCTTATCCTGCATCACACCGGTAATTTTACGTTAACTTACTAACCACTCATGACATAAACACAGAGAAGTAGTTCCGGCTACAATGTTCTTCCGCAATATGAATGCAGTTCTGTTTACTAACTGCTAGAACTCCAAAAGTTACGGACTGCACAGCGTTAAACAACGTGTTCTTCTTTACATCTAACTTTTCCGTTCACAGGTGGGCACTCTTATATATGACCTCCAACACAGACCTGAGAGTAAGAGGGGATATGTGTTAGGAGCCCGCACTGCACCACGCTTTCTGCCTCCATTTAAGGTAACGTTAGGCCTTTTATGCAATTCTGAGTAAAATCACAACCATTTACTTTGTTTTGAAAAATTGCGTCGCCTGTTTTTATAGACAGCCACCCCTTCACCACAGAAATACCAGCAGGACTGGGCGCAGTCTAAAGTGTGTCCTCCAGGAAAAACTCCATTCAATAGTACCACTGTAAGACACAGACCTTCGAATGCAGACTCCACCCCTGGGTATGATCTTTTTTAACATTTGACTATGAGTCTATCAAAAGCTGTGTGTTTTGGTCACCTAAGAAACTAATCTAGAACAAAAGTAAAGTTGTCAACCTTTCTGGCTCCATTGTCCTCAACAATAATCGAAGGCTCCGTGATTTTTCCAGTTAAGTAAAATATGAATAAAATATTGTAAAAATGTCCTTTTTTTATTTATTTGCATGCCTCTGCTCCCTTGAGGACCACTCAGTTTAAAATGAATTTACCCCTTATTTATTCTAATTATTTATCTACTGGTTTGAGGCAAAGGATAGCTAAAGCAATAAAGATTTTTGTAATTTACTTGTTTTGCGTTACAAATCACATTACCAAAAACAAGTCTCTGAATGTTGAACTTAAAAATCAGCATGAATTTCAGAAAGACCATCTTGAACTCCACAAGTAGCCTATGTGAACCTGATGGTTATGTTCTCCAGTATTCAAAGAGCATCTACTGTATGTGCTTCTGTATAAGCAAGAACATCCTAAAATGTTTAAAGTAAAAGAATCCCAGACTTTCTATGTATATCTTTTTTTTAGTCCAGGGGCATATGCTCACAATACCATCCTAAACAAAAGGGTGTTGTGGCCAATGAAATTCGGCTCTCCAGACTGGTCAAAAGTGCCGTTGCTGGAGAGAAGAGCACTGCGGACAGAGGTACAGATATGTCTGAAACTCTTCTGCAAATTACGAATCTAAGAAGCAATAACAGTATCTACACAACAGTCTGTTGAGCTGTTCTTAGCTGATATATTCTTTTCATTACTTCATGTGTTTTGTCCATACAGCTCCTCCATGACAAAGATTTTAGGAAACAGAGGAACAGGGTGGCATATCTGAGCTTGTTTTACTGATCACTCTAAAATACTACCTCAAAAATGCAGTGTGATTCTCTACATATACAAACATTAAAGCTTTAAAAGAGAAATTCTACTCGTCTCCAATTTCATATGTCCAGTTTGAAAACGTATTTTTGAAGTGTCCTATATTTGACTCAATCCAGGCACATTACTTAAAATTTAACTAACGTAGTAGTGAGTAAAGTAACACGACACAGGACACATGTTTCTAATGGAGATGTTTACTTTATCCCCACGTTCTGGTTTAATTTTCAACTTGTCCTTTTGAAACAACAGCTTAAAATAAACAATAAAACACATGTATTACCATCATTCACAAATGAGTAACAAATAGGCACAAATCAAAAGAGAATGTCATGTTTTTGATGTGTGGAGAACTGTAAAAACTAAATGACATTTCAAGGGAAGGCTTATCAAAACAAACTACTGTAAGGAGTGTTACTCTTAAGGGAAGTTGCCTGTGTGAATTCCATCTAAAATTTGTGAGATGTACAGAACAGTCTGTCATATAAATCCAACGTCAATAACATGATGGGCCGCCACTGTTTCCAAATTGCGGTTGTTGAAGACTCCTCAGTGTGTTAGCTGTTACTTCAATGGGCACAATTTGATTAGCAAGTGCTAAGAAGTCATCATTCGTCATAACCTGCTGATGTAGAAGTAGCTGAGTGAAATCATTTTCATTTTTTCCTTCTCACTTTGGGCTTTTTGACTGGCCGTAGGTATGGGTTGTCAATCATGTTTTCCTCATTGGCCTTCCCTGTAGGCACAGCACCACCAGGTGGCAGCACTGCGTTCTCCTTATCTGCACCCGAGTCATCCTAGAAATGGAATGAAAATAATGAATACATTTTCAAAAAAATGTATCAAAAATGCGTACCGAAAGCCTCGTACAACGGTTCAATACAAATACGTGTATCGTTACACCCCTAAGTGCGTGTGTGAGTGTGTAAATAAGCACTTTAATAAATTTATTTTATTATTTATTATTAGTATAAAAAATATAGAAAAACAACGGACAAGCAAACATTTTCTTGCATAACAAACATTTTGACAAGGAAAAAAGCTTTCGGCTTGCCTGAATGATGTGACTGGGGTTGTTCTCTGTGTCTGTCTGGTCGTCCTGCTCGGATGAATCCGTCTCCTCCAGGGTCTGTAGCTCGAGTTCAGAGGGCAGCAGGGCGCTCAAGTAAGGGATGGAGCTCGGCCTTGCAGCGATCACTGACAGATGAATAAACATTCATTAGGAAGGTAAAAGGTCAGTCAAAGTATAATGGGAAACAACAGAAAAACTCACAAGGAAATGCACTGATGTCATCCTTGAAAAGGCTTTGTGTCTCTCCGGTCTTGGCCATGAAGCGTGTGAGAGCACGCTCCACATCTCTCCTTTGTGATGCCGCCTTCTCTCTCACCACCTGGTAATCTGATACAGGCTCTCGAAAGGTCTAAAACACAAAAGTGAGAGATGCTGAATGTATGTGCTTAATGTTAGCGGTTGTTAAGCTGAGATAAGTTGCACAATAACATGGCTACTGGTTATCAATAGAGGACTTACTGGTGTTTTGATGTATGTGTGAGGATCTGGGAACTCTGGGAAGTGGCTGGGGATGTGTGGTGGATGAGTGCGCTTGTGTCCAGCCATGAGGGCTTTTGGGACCACTGGAGCATTTGTTACTGGAGCTGTTTAAAGCAGAAGTGTTATACATTTAAAAAGGAACAGTCAAAGCAGATTATATAAAATAAATAGAAATATTGGTGAAAAACATACGTGCAGTTATGACCATCCTTTGTGATCTTTTGGCATACACTGGAAGAGTATCCACATTAAAACCTGCAAATGTGGCAAAGTAAAGCTCAGATGAAAATGATTCAACCTCAAAGAGAAGTACAGAGCGCCTTAAGGGACCTTAAAAGAAACTTGGGGGAAAAAAAGAAGACTTTTTACAGACATTTTTTGCATGCTCACACATTAACACAGATCTATTTTGGCTGTCGTTAGGGCAGTATACCTCTAAAATCACAGCCTTATGTCCACTTATCCTCTGTGATGGCTGAGAAACTGCTGTGAAATGGGCTAAATTTGTGAATTGTCTTTTTTGTAAGTTCAAGGGTCCATTTAAAAAAGACTGATACAGAAAAAGTGCTCAAACTGTCTTTTGTTAAGGTAGACATCAAATTTGAAAAGTTTCTTGTGTGCACGCAAAAGTCTGTACATTTTATTTAGTTTTTAGGGGATCTGTAAAGAAGTGAAATCTTTTCTACTTTAACTATATATCGATTAAAGGGGAACCTACCCATTTCGACCAGAGTGATGACCACATCAGAGAGTGTAGGGGTGCTTCTAGCTGTGTGCTCACAGTTTGCCTTCGCACATCGTCCAACCTCAGTGATATCTATCACAAGACAATGAGACTCTCGATAAGAAAAAACACATAAAATAAACTTCTGGTATAAACATGGTCTGATGTCCAAGCTAAACATTTGACAAGCCTCACAGGTGACCTTCTTATGACAAATAAAGGACTCACAGCTCTGCATCATCTCAGTGAGTGTCTCCACCGCAGCTTTCTCAGCGCTCTCAAAGCCACACTCGGTCAGCAGAGAGCTGACCACCACCTGCAATGTGCGTCTCCGAGCCAGCTGATAGTTCTCTGTAGGACTTGTGCTGGTCTTACTGCTCCCAGAGCGCTGCGATTATTAAAAGAACAGACTATTAAAGAGCAGGATGTCCCATGCAAATTTTTTTCCTATCTGCATTATTAAAAAAAAATAAGGCAATTGTTTGGCTGTCTCAAAAACAAGTGTAGGTTCCTGCTATTTATGGTTCTAATCAAAAAGTTGAAACCAGCCTTAGATGTTTTGCTGGTTTTCCAGCCTGGTCAAACTGTGAGACAAGTTAAACATTTTAGGGAACTTTTTGGGTGTGTGTCTGTATTCCAACATAATTTCTGGGCATATGATGCAAGACCACTAAGTTTTAGACTTTATGCTAACATACACTCCACTGTTACTAGATAGCTCAGCAAATGTATTGACCACATGTCGTTTCTATTTATGCATAACATAATAAAAAAATGTGCATATGAAATAGTGTCTACTTTTAAATATAGGACACATTTTCCCTTAAACATGCCTTATATTTAAACAGTTGTTTGGCTAAGCTAGCAGACTGCAAGCAAGAAAAATGAAAGGAGATATTTACGCTTCCGGAGTTTAAAGATCCGCTCCCCATCATCACAGGGTCAGCCATTTTTTACTCTAGTGGTTTTTTCTCTGGTGTTTAATATTCGCAGATAAACTCATTGTGCGGTCTGCGTTTACTAAAGAATGGTTTTGTTTTATTTTTATATTGAGTGAAAATGGCAACCCTATCAGAATTTCCAACAGAGCCAGCCACCGGAAGGTTGTTGTTTTCGGTGTGTTTCCAAAGTAAAAGTCCACAAATAATAGATTTGTTTGTGTTGTTTTTGATGTCATCTATTGAACTCCAAACCGTTGAAAAAAAAAAAAAAATTAGTAGATATGCATATTTACAATTGGTTCAAAATACGGAACAGTTTGTTTGGATGTATGAACAACACAATATATCGGGAATCGTTTCTCCAGCGTTAATTTTATAAAGCCTAAAACGAATCTTAAAAATTATAAAATGTTATCTGTTAAATGATAAGCGATAAAGGTTTGTTTGCTCATTTATTTTATTTGTTTGAATAGAAGAGGGGATTATACATATGAACTCCATTTTGTAAAGCAAATACCAAGCCAATAATAATTAGAATTTCTTACACGAGCACTACTCATCCTGTTGAATAAAAAGGAAAACAATCAAATCACCCTTCAGTATAAAACATCTACTTTAAAATCTCAACCAAAAAATAAATAAATAAATCAATAGGCCTACAATATTTTTTAGTTATCATTAAGACCTGCATTAAAATATTTTTTAACCAATCTTAACATAATTGTATAGGATATTGTTTGGTTAAATTATTTGATTTAATTTGATTTGAAATGATTTAGAATTCATGATATTGTGATTATTACACAGTACAGAATGCCTTTATTCGGGCTATGGTGGGTCAGAGCAGAGTGACATTTTAGTCCTGCTTGTATGTGGTTTTACGTCTTTACACAGAATTTTGAGCAGGCACAATTTACTGCACTGTACTAGGACATTGAAAACCCATTTTCAGAAGTTTGCATTTCCAGGCCCCAAAACCATTGATATACATAATAAAGGATTTTTATAAATGAAATATATAACTAACCTTATATTTTTTAAGAGGGGTCCCTACAAGGTTTAGTTGACGGGCGTTTATTTTGAAAGTTGGTGCAGCAGGCGGCCATCACGCTGCTGTCGCTATTTTCAACTGCCTCACCAGCTAAAGACGCACTCATCACGTCTATAATCGCAACACAAGATTGTAGTCTTGGTTTCCCAGCCTCGATTCTTTACTGATGAGGGACTTTCGGCCCGACTGACACAGGGAGATGGGGGTTCTCAATATTTCAGACCAGGTGAGGAAAATTACCTCCACGAGTGGCATAAATCAAGCACACTGTTGTTCGCTTTCTGCGCTTGTATGCAGAGCTGATATGTTAGCTAGCTTCCCGACGATGGATTATTATACTATTTCCCCCATAGTTTTGCATCAAAACCTGGGTTTCTTGTTATTCATTTAGGTAAAAGCCTCACGGGTTCACCGTATAATGAGGGTAGGACTACCAAAAAGCGGTTATACATGAAAAATATCGCTTATATCACGCCTAGACGTTAGCCAGCCAGCTAGCCTAATGAGCTGGGTGTCAGCCAGCCGCATAGGAAAACATTTATTGTGTGCTTATTTTTTAAAAACGCACATGTTTATTAACCTATTTAACAAATACTACATTTTTAAAGAAATCTCTTTATATTAGAACATTGTATGCATATTTATCCCATCTACGTAGATAAAATAGCAATGTGTGTTACTTTGCTGTAGCTTGTTAATGATATTCAGTGATAATCATATTTGATTATAATTATACAGCTATACACCTCACAGTTGCCACGCAGAAGTTATGCACGCAGAATAATTAAAAACAAAGGGTTTAAATTTGTTATGTTTCATTGCAGTTTCTTAACATCCACCCTTTTTTCCTTCTCCAGCCGCCTCTGGTCCAGGCCATATTTAACAGAAATGCAGATGAAGTGAAGTTATTTTTGCACAAGAAAGATGAAGTCAATGCACTGGTAGGTTTTCAAAGGCATATATCAGTTTGAGAATGAATTATGTGCATCATCTGCTTCGATGGCATAAAATATTAGTAAGAATGGACAGAGTTTCTGAATGATTGCACATATGGGTTGTGTGTGCCTGTAAAAATAGTAAGTGTGGAAAAGAAATGTAAAAAAAAAAATAATTCCCCCCCATTTTCGTGTCAGGACCAAGACCGCCGCACACCTCTTCATGCTGCTGCCTGGCTGGGGGACGTTAATATAATGGAGCTTCTCATCAATGCAGGTATGAAGTTAAACAGCATTTCTGCCACCACATGTAGTATGTTTTTTTATCAATAAAATGGATAGTTTTGATCTCAAATGCTGATTGGTCAATGCTGAATTCAAGCCTTGCTCAAATGCATGAAATAGTAACATGTATGGCCCATTTCCCTAAATTCAGTCTATATCAAGGTTTCCTAAATGGGGGTTTGAGAGTTGATGAAAAGCTAAAATGAATTAAAGGTCCTGACATACTCACTGGTGAAGGTCTATTTCACTGTAAATGTTAAAATAGTGGGGGCATTTTTTTATTTCTTGATTTTCTGATTCTACACTAGCGAGACAAACGTGCATGCGACAAAGGATGAATTGCAGCCTTTGAGAATTCACCATACCACTATCCTATAGTATTTTTTTTTTAAATGGTATTAATTCACCATGCAGCCTTAAAAAACGGTCTAATAATGTGTTTGATCGCTTCTCGTCCGTGGAATGCACCATTTCTGGTATTTTGCCTGTTACTTGACACAGGTAAATTGCAATCTACTACTGTAATTACAAATTACTGTATAAAACATGCTGTAAATTACAGTATAAAACATGGGAAAACAGGGTTAGTTTCACTTTCATTTAGAGCTTCAATTTCTCCTGTATAGCAGCTCTCTAGTATATATCTGTGTGCAGCTTATTATTATATTATATAATAAGTATAACAGAAGAACACTGACTCATTTCAACACACTATGATTTGGGATGTACTAATTCTATTTTCGAATAATATTTAGGACGGATAGTATGCAAATTGGGACGCAGCATTTGTTCTTTGCTTACACGTAAATTAAATAAAGGGTTTTAATAAAAATCTGTCCATGTTTTTATTATTGTGCAAATTGTCATAGCTCTGCTGCATGTCACAATTAATGGAATTTACAATGTAGAAAGATTTTACTTAAATGCTAGTATTTGTCTTTTTTTTTTTAAACTTCATTCTTTTTTTTCCTTCACACTACTGCATAGGTGCGAATGTCAATGCAAAGGACCATGTGTGGCTAACACCATTGCACAGAGCAGCTGCTTCCAGAAATGAGGTAAGCAGCACGTGTGATTTAGGCACGATGTTCAGACTGCCTGCAAAAATCTGGTTTTATCCAGATGGGTTTTTAAAAAAAAAACACCACATGAAATCAGAATTTTGGGTAATGCTTAAATCTGTACCAAATCAACCGATCCAGATAGGTTGGTTATGCCTCGATACACATCTATTTGAACACTTGCAATTAATAGTGCGGACAGTCTGCCTGAAATAACCTGATTTAAGAAAAAATCTGATTCGCCTGCAGTCTGAACTAGGTTTGCCACGATTCCAAAATTCCAGTAGTCTGTACCAACACCATTAAAATTTTACGATTCTCTGTAACAATGTGCGTACCACAGCAAAATCTGTTGGAACTATTTTTCTATTTTATTAAATTCAATAATTTTATAATTTATGATGTTAATCATAAGTAAATAATACATATAAATATTGAAGGCTACATAAAAGTAAACATTGTAAAAAGATCAAGTGAAAAATAAGCAACCTTCTATGCACACATTATTGTTATTAGTAGTAGTATTATTACTATTTTGAGACAAAGCTAAATATACTGTACAACATAGCCTAATATAATTATTTCTTTATTTTGACAGTTTGCTGTGAAGACTAAATCTGTGTGTCTGTATATGATATGGTGATAGTTTTTCTCAAATGAAACGGTAAAATGCTCGTGAAGTGACTCAGCGGCCGTGGAGATGAAGTTCATGCAGTCATGTCCTCATGTCGTGAGGCACCTGAGACTGAAGACCCTGCGGGCGTCATGTGTGCGTGCTAAATGAAACCGCACATCTGTGCCATTCATTCACAGAGATGAGCAGAACATGCATGATTAATACTTACAAAGTCTATTTGCGGTTTAATGTTCACAGACACTACTATATATCATCCAGTGGAGATTTCTTTAAGACTGCAAGGGAAGCTCAGCTTCCCCTATAATGTCAAACAAATAATGATCTAATGTTTACTATTGTGTTAACATTTTAATGAGTAAAAATGCGTTAGAACACGGTAATCTCGAAGACGAGTTCGTTCAGAATAAGCAACAAATAGCAGGTCGGCTGACTTGATCTCCTTCTCATGCATATCTGTAGCGCGTCACAGTGCATGCATTTTCCTATGGCATTTCCCCGTTGAAGCTCGGCGTCCATTGACTTCAATGGGGCTGCTTTGAACAGTTTTTTTCAGTGCTGTTAAACTAGACGGTCATTGGATAAATGCTGCGATTATGTCCCGCCCACGGACGCCGGGCGTCTCTGGGGTGAATAGGGAAGTGGGCTGGCCTGGCGTCCGGGCGTCCGCGTGATGATTGGAGGATTGCATCTCCTTTTGATTGACAGCGATTTCACCCAATAAAAAAATCGCTGACGCGGAAGCTAGTTTAAAGACTTCGTGCTCAGTCTCGTCGCGAATTTTGTGTGTATTTTACTCGAAAGACGAACTACTGTAACATATTTCTTAGTATTTGCAATTTTCATCAGATATTTCACAGTTCAACCTAATTCCCACATTTCTTCCGTCGATGTCAGGTGTCTTGTTAAATGTGCGGGCGTGGTGTTTGAATCACGGCACATCTGTCTAGTTTGGTTTCACTTTTGTGTTGGGATTCGGACGTGCATTCTCCGCGTGTTTGTTTTCGGTTGTGAGTGCACAGGATGACCTTATGGTCGTACTCATGCGTAACGTTAGCGTTCTGTCTTGTCGTGTTCGCTCTGTTCAGTGTGTTGTGTATTGTGTAGCACATGGTTTGTGTTTACATCGGCCGCGTGCTTTCATGTCATGTTTTGTCTTGTGCTGTGTAGCACACAGCTTGTGTTTTACACTAACTCTGTGCTTTCATGTTGTCATGTTCTGTGTGAACACGTGTCTTATGAGTGTTCTCATCGTTCTTCAGGTCTCATTTTGTGTGAGCACAATTGCTTTTTAATTTGTTTTATTGGTCATGTGTTTTTGTCATGTTTGGTATGAGCACATGGCTTGTGCTTGTCATGTGTTTGTTGTGCCATATGTGCTTTCCTGTCATTGTGTCGACTCCCATCTTGTTTCCTGATTATTAGTTATTTTGCCCCACCTGTCCTCCCTCGTTACCTCCCTTTTTTGCTCCCAATTTATTCCCCTTGTTTGTTTTTTGTTTGTTTTTATCAATAAAATAAAGCCCATCAACTCTGCTTCGAGTCCTCGCTCTTTTCACCATCCTCACACCTGACAGTCGAGTTTTAAAAAAAGAAGAAGAAAAAAGAGCTTCCCCTCTTTGAAAGACCAGCAGCCGCCACTGATATCATCTACGGTGCTCCTAGTAAAAATGTTCGGCAAGTCATTAACGCTATATAATATGTATGTAGTTTTTTTTTTCGGCTGTACACCAGATCTGGAGCCCTGCGCTTAGATAAACACAGATGCAGCAGAAAGCAGTTGCCTATCAAATGGGTACCGAATGTACTACAGAAATGCTGGAATCGTCACATTTTCTAATTTTCAGTACCGACTTGTTTACTGAAGTACCGGTACTTTTTGACAACCCTAGTCTGAACATAGCCTTATGTGCCTGAGTGGAGCCTTAGACTGAGTAACCGCTTACTCATGCCATTGTTTAGCATTTGAGCAATTTAATATAATTCATGCTTTGTTTTGTTTTGTTTTTTTACCCAGAGGGCTGTGGGGCTGCTGCTGAGGAAGGGAGCTGACGTGACCGTACGGGATAAGTTCTGGCAGACACCACTGCACATTGCGGCAGCCAACCGAGCCACGCGTTGTGTCGAGGCCCTGCTTCCCCATGTGACCAGCATGAATATGGCCGATCGTACGGGCAGATCGCCCCTGCATCATGCTGCTCAGAGTGGTTTCCAGGAGGTAGGGTGGAATTAGTCATCTAATGCACTGAATTAAAAGACAGGGTGGGCCATCAGCCCGGAACATCTTTATTACAGCACTCCACGAGGCTGTGAAAGTGCAAATTGCTATTAGAGGAAATACAGATAATTCAGTTTTGACGCGTCCCTTTGTAGTCGTTTTAGGTAACCTTTGCTGCATTTAGCCTGTGGCCCTCATTTGGAAATGTTTATAAATTATCACAATTCCAAATTTCACTAGTAGTTGCCAGGAAATATTTTACATTTTAATCTCCTGATCGTGATTATTCAAGATGATGGCAAATTTTGTGCACAATGCTTAATTTTGCTGCCTAACGTGTTCATTGTGTCTGCTTAACTGAATGCATGATTTTAACTAACCACATCTTATAGCTGTTTGTATTACGGACATTAATTTAACACCATTATCTCTGGCTGATAACCGAATACTTCCTGAACATTTAAACAGGCATTTTCTTTGAAACTGCTTTTGAAACAATATGGATTGTGAAAAGTGCCATACAGATCGTCATTATAATATTGCTTTTAGAGCTTTTGGTACATTTAGGACTCGATACAATAAATAAAAAAATAGAAATCAACATGGTACTGAAGTACTAGTACTCTTCACTTCCCTAGTGCCAGTTTGGTTTTTAATCTAGGCCTGTATTATGTATAAAAAAAAAATGATTCATTAATTTCTAACTTGTCTCTCTAATGCCCAGATGGTTTTGATTAAGCTGATACAATGTTACTTTGTGCTTTTGCTGCCAACTAGATGGTTAAATTGCTGCTGAACAAGGGAGCCAATCTGAGTGCCAGTGACAAGAAGGACAGGCAACCCATTCATTGGGCAGCTTACCTTGGTAAGTCCATATTTGGGTCTCCTTGAAGTGTTTTACTTGTTTTCTGTAGCTAAATAGCAATTTTCCTTGTGTTAGATTGTGCGTCGTCATATTTTGCTAGTGGTGATTACTGTTAGTTCTAGTAAAACTAACCTGTTTGTTTCTCTCAGGACATCTGGAGGTGGTTAAGCTGCTGGTGTCTCAGGGCTCAGATAAGAGCTGTAAGGATAAGCGGGGATACACCCCTCTCCACGCTGCTGCTGCCAGTGGCCACGTCGATGTGGTCAAGTACCTGTTACGCAATGGAGCTGAGGTCAGCACTCACTCTATTGCAAGTTTATATCTCGCATTCTGACCTTATATCTTGTGATTGTGAGTTTATATCTCACAATTCTGAGAAATAAATTCAGAATTGTGAGATAAAAAGTCGCAATTACCTTTTGTGTGTTTTTTTTTAATTTATCCTGTGGCTGAAACAAGCTACCATGAATATCATAAATAATTTGGCAGGTGAACAATTGACTTTTCAATTTAAAAACAAAGCATCAGTATGAATTAGTTATGTCCAGTGTTGGTGAAAGTTACTTTTAAAAGTAATGCATTACAATACTGTTACTTAATGTGTGACTAATTGCTTTATATTTATGGAAAATATCCTGTTGCAATGCTTTTGTTACTTTTTTGCCAGCTGGGCTTGCTTGTTCTGTTGTTGTTAACAAGGGTTAAATTCTTGGCACATGTAAACGCCTTTTCACACCAAAAGTGAAATAATTAAGATTCAAGCTGAAGGAAATGCATATTCACACCTGTACAAACCTTTTAGCTCTGCTGTCTTTCTGGATTGCAGAAGAAAATCGTTTTTGATTATTGTTATGGTTGAATTCAATCATGAAGGTCAGCAGTAAAGACATTGGTTAATAAAGTGAGATTAAATGCATAAAGTTTTATTTAACATATTATTGCAGGTTTGCATGTAACTCCCTTTACTTGCAAAAATTTTCCCCAGCACTGGTTAATACACAGTCACAACCCATGATTTTCTATTTGCTAGGTGGTTGCAAAAATCTGTATAGTGCAAGATGAGTCATTCATATTTTTTTGTCTATGTTCCCGAACTTCCCGCAAGAGATAGATGGTTGATCCGTGGTTTACGGAATATTTTATGCCATGATGTCTGTTTCTCAGATTGATGAGCCTAATGCCTTTGGAAACACTGCTCTCCATGTGGCCTGCTACACGGGACAGGAGGCCGTAGCCAATGAGCTGGTGAACCGTGGGGCAAACGTCAACCAGCCCAACCACCGTGGCTACACGCCCCTTCACCTGGCTGCCGTGTCCACTAATGGGGCTCTTTGCCTGGAACTGCTGGTCAACAACGGGGCTGATGTCAACATGCAGGTCTGGATAGGGAATTAGATTAGTTTATTAAGACCACCCTGTTATTGGATGTAAATTTCACAGGGATTTTAAGCAAGACATTTTTTTTAGAATGTCAGATATTTATTTTTTTCTCTGCAGAGTAAAGAAGGGAAAAGCCCTTTGCACATGGCAGCCATTCATGGACGTTTCACTCGCTCTCAGATCCTCATTCAGAATGGTAAGTTGTCTTTCCTTCTTTCCTTTTCCACTTGATTTCGAATTCCTTTAGTAATATTTAAACCCCGTAATTCCTCTTGTGGTCGTCTCAGGTGGGGAAATAGATTGTGTGGACAGATATGGCAATACACCTCTTCATGTTGCTGCTAAGTACGGCCACGAGCTGCTTATCAGCACCTTGATGACAAACGGTGCTGACACAGCCAGGTACAGAATCATGCGTTTGTTGAGCGAGACTGTTTGTTTGGGTCTTTTTTTGTAGTGATTGGGGTAAGATCGTCTCCTAAATGTTGACAACTGCATAGTGTTAAGCTTATTATCTGGCTAAAGATCATGAATTATTTATGGCATATGAGAGGCTAAAGCAGTGTTATTTTAGTAAAATGTATATACTATTATATTATTCTATTAATGTTCTAAATTAGCTTTAATTTTTAAATTCAGTTTATTTTAATATTTAATAAAGGTTTATTTTTTATTTATAAAGGTTATTTTTGTGCTTTTTTCATTTATTTTTTATATATATTTTTTATATATAGCTTTATACTTTTATCTTTATACTTTTAACTTTTATCTTGCTTATGAAAATGTGAATATTATGCAGCAAAATAAGACAATGCAATGGAATTGTGCTTTAATAAATAGTTTTTCTGGCCTTATGTTATAGATGCTTTATGGTTTTATATGCATCTCATTTCTCCTCGTCTTTCTAGCAATTGAGTTAAAAGTGGTACATTTTAACCCACTCTTTATACACAAGAGACAAGGAATTTGCATTTACAGAGAACCTTGATTCTAATCTCTTGTTAGTTTGCATTTAATCTGCTTCTGTGGCATGTGTAGTCAAATACTTTGTTTGTTTGTCCTCTTTTACAGACAAGGGATTCATGGGATGTTTCCTCTACACTTAGCTGTGCTCTACGGGTCCTCTGACTGTTGTCGTAAGCTACTTTCCTCAGGTATACACACTTACTCCCTACAAATAATGTTGTCCCTTTGTCTGTTATATATATTAAATGCACCGATTGTAACAAAATGGTTCTAAATGACCGTCATGTGATGCACAAATGGATTTACACAGTGAATCAAGTAATACCATGGTAATTTTGTGTGTGTTTTGTGATCTATGTCTTGATTTTCTTAATTTTCTTTCATTAACTGCTTTTCACAAGACTGATGCATATCCAGCTGAAATGAAAGTGTCTTCCCCTAACTATCATTGCAGTGACGGTGTGCATGTCTCTTGCAGGTCAGCTCTACAGCATTGTGTTGTCAATGAGTAAAGAACACGTGCTCTCAGCCGGATTTGACATCAACACCCCAGACAATTTTGGGAGGACCTGTCTACACGCTGCTGCCTCTGGAGGGTGAGACTGCAGCTCTACCTAGAATGGGCTATTTAAAAAGATACTGGCCCACTTTTTCAGGTTTCAGGTGTCCTCATTAAGTGTTTTATGCACACAAATGCCAACCAAGGTCATTTTGCAGATGTCACCCAACAGCCACCATGTAAAAGTAATCGAAAAAGATTTATTTATACCTATCCTTTATTTTCTTTACTCAGAAACATTGAATGTCTCAACCTGCTCTTAAGCAGTGGAGCTGACATGAACAAGAAGGACAAGTTTGGAAGGTACACATCTTTAAAATGGGATGCTTATAATTTGTCATGAGCATATCTGAAGTGTGCCTCATGAAAAGAATCCTCATGCCAAGTATAATTTCTTATTTTAACTTTGGATTTTGGCTTGAAATATGATGTGGATATCTTTTTATGAGATTCACCTGTATGTTAAGTGCTAGAATTTCTGTCTCTCTCCATCAGGACTCCTTTGCACTATGCGGCTGCTAACGGGAGGTATCAGTGTGTGGTCGTTCTGGTTGGGGCGGGGGCGGAGGTCAACGAGCGAGACCGCTCTGGCTGTACACCTCTACACTACTCGGCTGCATCGACTGCGTTCTGCAGGTGAGATTTACACACGTCTATTAAATATAATAGTTCACGGTGTACACAGCAGTTCTAATGTCTGGTGTCTTTCTCAGAACGGATCGACCCCATGCCAGCACCCACCAGAACCAAGAGGATGGGGAGAAGGAATCCTTCCTGTAAGTTCACAAATATTTCTTCCCTAAATTTGACACCCACAAAAAGGTTGTTTTTTTTTGTGCCTCATCTTTGCAGCCATTACCTGGTTTGGATTTTCACTTTATTTAAAATTAGATTATCTATGATTAAACTGTTAAGCTACATATGTGTGCATTGTGACAGTCCCTTTGAGCTATATTGTGTTCCAGGATGCTGGTGATCATAAGAATAGTTATAAATACAGCTGTGCTTTATTTATAAAGCCAAGTATATTGGCTATATAAAACAGTATAATGGATCTGTGCATCAGGTCTTATAGTGACGGCAGCCCAATATACCGGCTGCCAAATTATAAGATATAAAATATAAAAAATGTATTTATGGCAGTTTTCAATGTCAAAATTTTGGCCAGTAAAAAGGCTGTTTGGCTAGTAACTTTGGGAAAACCACTAGCCACGGTGGCTGGTGAGCATATTGTGGTTTCCACACGTATATTAAGCAGCACAACTTTTTTTTCAGATCAGCATATTAAAATGATTTCTGAAGGATCATGTGACACTAAAGACTGGAGTAATGATGCTGAAAATCCAGCTTTGCCATCACGGGAATGAATTGCATTTTAAAATATATTAAAATAGAAAAGTTGTTTTAAATTGCAAAAATATTTCACAAACTTTAATCCAAATAAATTAAGCCCAGACGAATTTAAAAAAACATTTAAAAACGCCAAACTTTTGAACTGTATTGTGTAAGTATGAGAAGTTGTGTTGAGCTATTACTGCTCTTTTCAGTCTTTAAATCCCATACATTTTGATACTTTTAGGTGTGTGGAGCATTTGTTGGATAATGGTGCTGATCCATCTCTGTGCAACACTAAAGGATACAGCGCTGTGCATTATGCTTCGGCCCACGGCAACAAACAAAACCTGGAGCTGGTGAGATTGACCTTTCACCCTAGCAACGTCCACTGTTTTTTTATTTTTAATCAAAGTTTAACACTTGATATATGCTATCACTTTTTTTTCTTTATTCTGTAGCTTTTGGAGATGTGCTTCAACACACTTGGAGACAATGAAAGCAATGGGTCCGTCAGCCCACTACACTTGGCGGTACGTACGAAACAACAGCTTCTATTTATTCGGGACATATAAATGACATGTAATTCTGCAGAACTCTGCCCCCTGTTGGTGCAATGTATATATTGATTTTTCTTATCAGGTGGAGTCAGGTCACTGGGAATGTGTCGCAGTGTTAATTGAGTCTGGAGTGTGTGTGGATGCATGTGACCCGGTGGGGCGCTCTGTGCTGTACGTGGCCTCTCAAAGAGGGCATGCCCGCTGCGTAGAGCTCCTGCTTGGCCAATCAGCATCTTGCCTGCTCACGGAAAACTGCAGCAAATGGGGCCCTCTTCATGTTGCAGGTACAGTATGCATGTATGTGTGAATTAGCATGTGAAACGAATCATTGTGTGGGAGTTTGACACATCCCTGTGTTTGTTTGTTGACAGCTGCCAACGGCCACTCAGAATGTCTGCGGATGCTGCTCTGTAGTGAGGGAGGAGCTGATCTTGTTAATGTTACAGACATGGAGGGACAGTACGTATGAGCTCATGGGCATTCAGTATTAATATACAGAAAAACAGATTAGTAATGCATCTTGCATAATGCAATTAATAATGGCCCAAATATGCAACAATTTAGAAAGCGCTCACTAAAATATAGATTTTTTTTTTAATACTATTGAGTTTGTATTATAATATTAATATTATTGTATTTGTATTTTTTAGATTATATTGTTTTACATTAATATAGCTAAAAGTAATTCATTTCATTTTAAATAAAAAATAATTTATTATTATTAAAAATATATGTATTATAACTTCTTGAATAACTCAAAGATCTTTGTGAAATGAAGGCTTAGGCCTGTTTTGAACCACATTGTAATTAAATATTCATTATTATTGCATAATTTTCTACAAATATTCCAAATAATTCCAATAACTATACTAAATTAATCAAGTTGCATGTGTTTCAAAAACTAAATCAAAGAGTTATTTAAGCATTTGTAAGATTTTAGTTCTATTCATGTCACACCCTGTGCAATGTTTATTTACTGAGATCATACCCTATATATTTCAGAGAAGTAAACAAAAAGACAAATTATTAATTCCAGTTGATTGTATGTAATTTGTAAAAACAAAACAAGAAATGCATAGCACTTCATTTTGGATAAGAGATCCTAAAGGAAATCTTAAAGGTTCCCAAGCAATGCTGAAAAGGGATCAAAAGTGTATTACAAAAAAAAATAATAATAATAATAAAAATAATAATTTTAATAAGTTATATGTTTATCAACCTTTCTGATGTTCATTCATGTTGATTTGCTGCTTTAACTAATAGTAAAGAGGGAGAGATGATCGGTGCTCATGCTGTGATCCATAACGCCACATTATTAAAAGAGCGCCAAAAGTGTATTTTTTTGTTTGAATTTGACTTTGTTTCTTATTAAAAGTATAAAAGCACAAAAAAAAAAAAAAAAGTGTATTACATCTTATTTGCATTTTCAGCTTTGAGTTGTTGATCTCACCGTTTCCCTGTCTTCATAGAACTCCACTAATGCTGGCAGTGCTGGGGGGACACACTGACTGCGTGCATCTGCTGCTGGAGAGAGGCGCTTGCCCTGATATGAGAGACAGGAGAGGAAGAACAGCCTTACACAGAGGGGTGAGATCCTGAAAACATTACTAAAGTTTGCAATGCATCGTAGTCGTCCTCATAATGTGAGGGGTTTCTAACCAGGACTGTTTTTGTAGGCGGTGATGGGTCGGGAGGACTGTATAACCGCCCTGCTGTCACACAATGTCTCAGTCCTCAGCAGAGATTTTCAGGGGCGAACCGCGGTGCATCTCGCTGCCTCTTGCGGCCATGCTGACATTCTCTCCAATCTTCTTTCTGCTGCTGACCACTCCCATCCCCACGACCCAATCACAGACCGCCACGGCTACACACCCGCACACTGGGCAGCCTATCACGGTAAGAGATCAGACTTTATGAGCCCCTTAACATTACTAAAACTACATTTGGTTAATTAAGTGACGTGCGTTATTTGTGAAGCAGGTCATGAAGACTGTTTGGACGTTTTACTTGAACTTAAACCATGTAGTATCCAGGAGGGAAACCCCTTCACCCCACTGCACTGTGCTCTGTGAGTATACTGAAGTATTTTTCTTTTTTTTTTGGAAGCTAAGCTAGCAGGCTCTTGTTCTGTGGAGAAAGCGGAGTAGGGGTTACCATTCATCCTCTTTTTCATGGACATGTCCGGTCAAGACATGAGATCGTACAAAATGTCCGGGATTCAGCTTTTGCTTTCTGCAGTCGCCACTTGCCGTTCATTGTTTACTTGCACACCTTTTGTTTAAATCTAACTGAATTCATTCTGATTGGTGAATCTGATTGTAGTGTTTACATGAACGCTAAACAAGTGATCGGTTGATGTGCGTGTTTTAAGATTTCTAAGAAAATTCCCCCTCCTCCGTGAGAGATACGAGATCGTTGCGTCTCACAGGTGTCTCTCATCAGTAATCACGCCACCAGCCTCGCGTGGTTCTCCACACAGCCCTCAGTCTCGTCCTGCTCACCACAGTAAACATAATGACTGGCGACCGTAGAACGCAAAAGCCGAATCCTGGACATTTTGGACGATCTCAAAATCCCGGGCAGACTCATCACGTAGAGTCACTAGTAGCCTAACTACTGCGCTATGTTTCCGGTAGGCGTGGCCTCCTGGGGTAGCGAAGCAAGTGCATTCTGGGAGTTGTTGTCTTTCATCCACATAAGCCAAAAGTACATTTTCTGGCTTTTCTCAGTCTAGAAAGCTCCAAATTCAAGAATAATTTCACATTTCTTCTACATAAATTACAAATTTTAAATACACATTCATCTTTCCAGAGGTGAAGTATCCATTTAAAGAATCCTGGAAATATGTATAATGGTTTCCACAAAACTATCAAGCAGCACAACTGTTTTCAACATTCATAAAAAACTTTTCATGAGCAGCAAATAATTTAAGGCATGCATTTTCTAATCGCCATGCTGCATGTTCTTGTCATTCCATTGCAGCTTTAATGGCCATAGTGGTTCTGCAGAGCTGCTGTTGGAATCCAGTGTTTGTAATTTGCTGGTAAACATCAGGGATGCCAAAGGAAGGTTAGTGCAAGTACATATTTAAATACAGCTGCTGTGTAGTAGCTGTCAAATAGTTACAAATTGAAAACCATTTCATTAATTGTACTAGAAGCTAAATGACTATTCTGACATCTTGCTCCCAGGACCCCGCTTCACGCGGCCGCAGTTGCTGAGGACGTGGCTGGGCTGCAGCTGGTTCTGCGGCACGGAGCTGACATCAACGCCGTGGACCACTCGGGGCGTTCTGCACTGATGGTGGCCGCCGATAATGGCCAAAGCGGTGCCGTAGGTAAGAGTCTCACCATGTGTTATGTGACTAACCCCAGACTGAAACCCTTAGTTTCATGACTCCTTGGTTTTAACAGATGTTTTCATTGTTGTATGTAGCCCTGCTGCTGCACAGAGCCAAAGCTGACCTGTCCCTCCTGGATGTGAACAAGAACACTGCCCTGCACCTGGCCTGCAGCAAGGTAACAAACATAGCTAGGGCCCTATGAAATTGATTTCTGTTGATGCAGGTTGAATTACATTTTAGTAATCAAAAAGCATGTCACATGCATTGAAATCATGAAACTTATACATTTTAACAACTCAAGTTGAACAAAAAAAAAAATTTTAATTAAATAAATGAATTTAATGAATAAAACATTCCCCCCCAAATTGTTTTATCTTTCACAAATTTAGAAATTGTAATAATCAAAATGCATGTCTAATTTAATAAATTTTCTGTTGCAATTTTATGGTTTCATTAGTAGGCATCTATGAAATTGTTAATTTTTTTAAAACGTCTGTTTTAATGAAAATTTTGAAAATGTAATCAAATGAAATGATTTACTGTTAAAATTAAGACATGGAAGAAAAATTGAGACTTGTTTAGACTTGTCAAATGTGCGTATTGCTAACATTGTGAATATTACGGTTTGTGTTTAAAGGCTCATGAAATGTGTGCCATGCTGATCTTGAAGGAAATCCACAACCCTATCCTCATAAACGCAACCAACAGTATGCTTCAGATGTGAGTATCTTTTTCACAGTTTGCAAATACCGCTGTAAGTGATGGGTTGTGCAAGGTTCTGTAGCATTAGCATTATCGTTGTTTGAGCATCCTGACCAGCCTTAAGCAGCAAATGGGCTTCGTTTACCTTTGTGTTTACTGCCTTAATGTCCCAATGTGATTTAAACGTTGCAAACCTTTTAGCATCGTAACTTAATTTGATCTATATTTCAGGCCCCTCCACATTGCCGCCAGGAATGGTTTGGCCTCCGTGGTTCAGGCCTTGCTGAATCGGGGAGCCACAGTGCTGGCAGTGGATGAGGAAGGTAAGACGGTATAGAACAGGAAATTTCATGTTTTGTGATTTTTGGTAAAAAAAAACAGTTCACAGCAGTAAATGACAACGTGGCTGGGACTACTAGAATTCTAGTACACAACTTTACACATTGATTTTAGTTCTGAACATCGTAAATCTGTTGATTATCGCCCCTTTAGGTTGGCCAGATTAAAGGGATAGTTGATCCAACAATTTAAGTTTTGCCATTTACTCGCCCTCAAGTTGAGTTTCTTTCTTCTAAACATCTCTGTTTTTGTGAATGTCACAGGTCATACGCCAGCCCTGGCTTGCGCATCCAATAAAGCTGTTGCCGACTGCCTAGCTCTCATCCTGTCAACCATGAAGCCTTCCTCCACCACACCTTCCTCATCCTCACCCTCTTCTCCCAGCCTCAACCTGCTCAAGCACTGTGGCATCACCGCCGCCTGCCCCCCCCTCCCCAATGGAGGCCTTCACCATGGTTACGGCAAAGATCGCCATGGTGCTACCATCGGCTTGGATGGCTGCTTGACCGAGTGAGGCGTTCTTACTTGTTTAAAAAAAAAAAAAAAAAACCCGCGTGGTCGCTTGTTTTGGTCCTCTCTACACACCTAGATAAACCTATATGCAATTACAGCCACACATCCCTCCTGTGCCAGTATCAGAGCTTTTCTTCACGTCTCAGTAGAGAGCGAATACGAGAGGACAAATTTAGCTATTTATTTCTATTTATTTTCCCCTTCCTGACTCCCATCTTAGATGCTGTCCATTCAATATGAGTCTAATAAGTCTAAAATCTGAATCTAAGCCATCTATTTCGAACCAGTATCCATCACTGGCGAGTCAGTCCTTTATTTCTTCATTGCAGTCGATTTGACTCGGTTTATGTTAGAATTATGCAGCTGTGTGTCTCCATGGTAACAGTGATAATGGATGGGTTTCCATATCATGCCTCCTATTTGCGTGATGCTGTGGCCTTGCATAGGAATTTACAGCCTGCCCTGAGGAACAATTTAAACGGGTTACACTAGATTTGCATGAATTTGCGGGACCATGTATTTGATAGTGGTCTTGTGTGTGTGTTTGTGTGTGTGCGTGCGTGTTTGCGCTGTATGTGTGACATCCACTTTTTGCGCAAAAGTCCAAGTTTTTCATCCCATACTTGATTCTTACTTTTTGAGGTTTTTATGTGAGGTGCAATCTGATTTAGCACAGATCAGGAAAAAAAACAAACAACCTAGCAGAATCATTTTGACAGAAGGGAAACCATACTACCTTAAGCCAAAAGACCAATGACCTCCTGGTAGAGGGGTCTGATATAATATAATGCTTGTTTACTGTTAGAGAGAAAAGGGATAGAGTGTTTGGATGGGTAAATTCATATTAGGTTTACAATTAAGGTAATAGGTAGTCCAGATCACTGTTTGCAGGGGGGCAGAAGAAAGTGGAGTTTAAAGTGTCATAAAAAATTATGAAGATACTACACTAAGGAAGTATAGAAAGCACAAACGTCATTACAGATGCAAACGTCATACACAGTACTTGCTCCTTGGGACCTTCGGTTTTAGTTATTTTGGGTTGGCAGGGCCTCGTAAAATATCTTCAATAAATCTACTGCTTTATTTGTTTATTGTTATAATATTAAGTGTGGAGTTGCTTTTACAGTGCCTACTGAATTAATTTTGTCTTTTTAGTGTCCAATTAGTTAAACACACCATATGCACTCCCCAAAGTTGTTGAGATGGTGCTTTGACCAGTGAAACATTAGTATTTCACTATAATCCATCCATTATGAAATGATTACCTAAATAGATGGATGTTTGATTCCCTATATTGACGGATGTTTGATTCACGTATCCGAACCCACTTGGGGGAGTGTATATGTCAAAGAAATGAAGTGTTGAGGCTGATTGGACCTTTTTACATTTGTTTATGGTGTTGGGGAGCAGTTATGGGTATGACCAAAGTTGTGTGATTTCTGAAAAGCATTTTATTAGGCACTTGTAGATATCCTTCCCAAAAAAAAACATAATCTTTTCAATTATAAACCTTGCTTTCTTTTTAATAATATTCACCCCTGCTCTATATAAAATGCTTCCTTTTTGCCAAAGGTAGATTAATTAATAAAATTAAGATTGTGCTTCCTTTTAGGTTTTTTGCACCTAAACACAACATAACAACATGTGATTGAGTGTTTTTGAAACATCCCTTTTTTTTTTGTTCACTACAAACAGGCAATATATGCTCAGTCAGTAATGAGACAATCAGTTGAAAGGGCTTTTAATTTTGCCATAGATTATTTTTCTCTAATTTTTTTTAATAATTAGGAAGATCTATACCCCTTCAATTCAAGACATCTACAAACTAATGCATACTTGTTCTCAATTAAACCAATACTATTATTTTCATTACAGTATATCAGGATTTTAGTGATGTAGATATAGTAGCATTGTAACTGATATTTTATTGATGAATGAAGCGTAGAAAAATGAAACTAATGTTAGATGTTTAAAGGCTGTGTGGAGAGCGTATTTATACTGGTTTATGAAATTACCTCTTTGTCATTGTAATGACAGGTTTTGGCTGCTTAAACAAGATTCTCCACTCTCTACGCTGGCCTGATATAAAGCACTTGCTAGTTCAGTTACAAAAAAAAAAAAGGTTGGAAAAATACGCTTTTGCATCTATCACAAGCTGTAAATGGGCAAATATCTTACCTCTACTTGCAAGAGTACAAACGTGCATGCGTGCAAATCAGATTAGTCAAGTTATATCAGTGTTTTGCTTGGGAAATATTTCTAAATGGGCTACATGACTAAGAGGAAGTTGCTTTTAATTCAAGAGGAGTTTAATTCAAGCTTATTTACCTGTACTTGATCTTGCTGCGGTTTGGTGGAGGGGAAGTAGTGCGTGTATAGACAGCACAGGGTACGATATAGTTAATTATGAGCTTGGATTTTTTTTGCACTGCCAGTTCTTCTTATAGTTGTAGAAAAACACATTAATATTTATAAATTTAGTCTAGTCATAGCACACTTAGTTGAGTTCCAAGTGCCCGTGGAGCTTGTGATTAGTAATACATTTCATTTGGTGCAAGAAAAAGTGCTGCTTTCGGTTTGTATCTTGGAGCTCATTTTTTTAGAGGTGATCTTTGTCTATTTATTAGCTATAGTAATTCTTATCCAGCCAAAACAAACTAAAATGTACTTGTTCTAATTCCTCCAATTTCTAATTGTCTTATTGGCATTGCACTAAAATTGTTTCGTCGAATGTATGCCGTGATAAAAGCAGCTTGCTTCGATGTTGGTGAAAATCTTGTATGCAGTAGTTGGCGATTAAATAATTAGCTTGACGACTTTGTAACTGAACCCTTTCAGAACTTTTAATAGATTGAGTTGGTGTTCTGTGTTCGAACAATAAGGGAACCGGTCACAAAGTGGCAAGACTTTATTTTTAGGGTAGAGTATAACTTGTAAAGGGGAGTTGCCTCCCTAAAATCGTTTAGTGCCATAACTGTTCTTTTCCCTTTTGCATTTCGACACATTTGTAAAATGTGAATGAATGATTCCTTGGGTTCAGTTTTTGAGTGTGCATCAAGACCATTACCAAAAAGAATAACGAAGTCCAAGCAAACATAAGCTACTGTGCCCATTTTTATTAAAATAAATAGCTTTTTGTTTTCTTTTGGAGATCCACGTAGTGTGTTAATTATTGTAAAATGCCAGTACATTCACAATCAGACTGTCTCAAAAGGCCAGTATGTTCTTAACTAAGCTAAATTGATGGGCTGGTTAACTCTAAGTGGAGCTCCCCTCCACCCGTTCAAGTGAAAGCTTTCATGGCTAAGCCATAACTTAACATTTGCCCTTATTAATTGAATAGCCGTAGTCGAGTCGTTCAGTCAACGGCTCCTCTAAAAACAATATTTTCTAAATCTTCCATTGTAATTGATCAAACCCACCACGAACCATTGATAACTTGAGGTTTATGTCTACGCAATGGAATTATGAAACGCCTTAATTTCATTATCAACCGAAGGGCAAATTTGAAATTTACCAAAATGACGCATTTTCTTTAGCTTTTCTTCTGGATCAACAAAATGTGCAGTTTAAGGAGCTTTTTGTTCGTTTTTTTACACAACTTTGCTATGAAGGGCCAGCTTTCATTGCCTGTTGACCGAGCTATAATGGTTGCAGTTAGTTGTAAACTAGAGTTGTCTAATAATTGTAACCATTTTGTTGGAAAGCAGATTAATTGTAGCTAACTCGGTGTCCTTATTGTATGTCCATCCTTGCATATTTGTACCGATATCATTTGTTTTTCTCGCTAAGGTATTAATGGCTGATAGAATGTCTGATTTACCTCAGCGGACCTCAGCGTCCCTACTACTTGAAGACACATCCGTTTAAGGCAATACTCAAAACACCCGTTTCATTTAACTTTTGTCTATCTCCCAACTTTTTGCCTTAAGAGGAAATGGTACAGTTCAGCGATCGCAGCACTTGAGAGATTTTGTCGTTAACCTGGTATCTCGTTTCGGTGAGATTCATAAGAAGCACAGTTTTACAGGTTGTTTTGCCGAAAGATGTACCATACTGGCTTTTCTGGCCTAAAAATAATCATTTTCATGGAATTTATTAGAAGTTTTTGCACTAGAATATAGAAAAATACAAATTTAGTGTGTTTTTGTTTAACACGTATTAAGCTGTGTGTGTTTTCTTTCAATATTTGACCATAAAACTAGAAACTCTTTGAGGAAAAGAAAATCACGATGTTGTTCTCCTAAGAACTGATCTTCACACTTGAATGTGACTTATAAAAACATCATAGTGAAAGTCTGCAGGGAAAAATAATACATATTGGAATGACTTTGGAACTAAAACAAGTAAATCAAATAATATAATGGTAAATTCTTTTAATTTAACCTAAAACAGGTTAGATTTTGTCCCCATTTTTTTCACTTGTAAAACTTGTGTATTGTTATAAATGCAAATATTTCTAACAAGGTAAATGAGAGAAGCACAAGATGTGCAAGATTCCTCGCGTGTGGTCGGTATTGCCTTGACTTGGCAATCTTACCTCAACTAGCAGTCCTTATCGTGCTATAAATACTGGTACATGTCATTTGGGTGGGCTTTTTAGCTACGCAACTAGAATCCTAAGGTCACATTCCAAGGCCTTGAAATGAGAAACATTGGAGTTTTCAAGGGGTGCTCTTGAACTTAAATGATGTCCTTCACCATGCTTCTACTTTATAAGCGCTAATAGTTCAAATTCTCCAAGCGAATGATCTAGTCAGAAAAAAAGCTGCTTTTTGTTGTTCTCGCCAGCAGCTTGTTTTCATAAGGCTATTTAGAAGACCATCAGAGCCGGACTGAATGGCTGATCTGACAGGGCACGTAGGGATCCCTTTAAAACACATTTTCATATTTAAAAAAAAAAAGAAAGAAAAAGCTATGCAGGAATATTTTCTTTTATCTCACATAGTTGCATAGTGCCACCAGAGATAGCCCAAGAGCTTCACTGACCGATCACGGACCTTTCATCTGTAAATCTAACACCGACCTCACTTGCTTGTTGGCTTCGGTTGAGAAAATGACTGCTTTGCGTGGCATGCTGCTATTTCTTTGGAGTCTGCAAGCATCTTCATCATCTCTTTAAAGTACTACACTTTGTGACGAGTATGTGGGATTGTGCCTTTTGTTATCAAGTACATGCCACAGGGTATGGTCTTCCATTAACACCTTTAGTGAGCCTTATGAATGAACAACTGTTGTAAGTATCAGATATAGCCACCATCCACGAGGTTGCGTTTTGAGCCGTCAAAACCCGCGATCAAATTCGTCACAACACCGCAAATGAATCGGTAACCTTTGTAAATTTAATTCAACCATAATGGCAAAACATTTGATCGGTTCTAGCTAGTGACCTGTTCAAACTCTGTATGGAGAAAAAAAAAAAACGTGTTTAGTTTTACGAAGTGTGAACTCTTAGTGAAGTAGACGTGTGCCGTGTCGTTTTTGTGTGGTAATGCATTGGAGATTAGTTGTAACCCAGTGTCCTGTAGAATGTTGGCATGACTCCTTTTCTCTATGTTGTATTGACGTCAAAGTATCCACCTGAAATGGACTGAAGTGCAATAACTTTTTTGTGCGCCATAGTATCCTTAATGGAGGAAAATGCCCTCTTACATAATCCATGTTTTTGTTTATTTCTTCCTTTAAGCAGGGTATTTAATTTCACTTATTTATGTTTTTTTGGATTGTACAAATTTGAACTCCTTCCTGCTTTGCCTCCGTAAGTGGCACTTTCTTGTGGAATGTACAATGGACTTGGTGGAAACTGTGATAGGTGTCAAAGCCTTATCGATACTTCTTGCTTACTGGAAAGATGGCATTTCTGTTTGTTTATCGGTTGATAGGTCAGAGAGTGCCGTTTTCCATGAACCTTCTTCTGCGCCACTTAAAGTCAAGTGTCTGCTTTTTGTGGCACGTTTAAGCATTTGTGTATGTTTGTGTGGGGGGGTGTTTAGACCTGTTCATTTACCTCTGATCAATTGATACCAAAAGCAAAGTGCATTGCCAGGAATTACAGTTCTTTTTTGGATTAGTGATTGTGATAGATGTATATGGAAATGGTATCTTGAATGTTGCTGTTGTTGTCGTCACCAGTGAAATATGCAGGTTTTTTATTTCTCCCCACACAACATTTGAACTTTGGGCCATATGTTCTGCGGTACCAAAGAACGTTTCATTGCTGATCTTTGGATCAGTTTTGTTTTTTTGTTTTTTTCTGCTGACATCAGGATCCCAATATATTTGTTGTTTCATGCCTTTTTGACAAATTAAAAAAGAAAAAAAGAAAAATGGAACTTGTACCATAATGAAACATTCCTTTGAATTTCATTGAACAAAACAGAGATACCGTTGGCAACTAATACCAGAAGTCATATAATAATGTTCAAAGTTGCAACTTAACTTTAAGCTCTTTCATTTTGGCCTCAAGCAATCGATGACTTCATATTTGATATCACAGGGAGCACACTGAATAAAGTAATCCACAACATAGGACCAATGTATGTCTCTGTAGAGATGGCCACTTGATTTCATTGAAGAACAAGCAATACAAGTATCAAGAGACAATTGTATATTTCTAAAGATTTGTTGGCTCTGGCTGCTTTTGGCCTGGCTATGTAATCTGTGGCACCTTAGGTTAACACCCTCTTCTTGTAACTGAAACCAACATAAGAGATTTCAGTGCTGAGAGAGCCTTATTTCAGTCAAACTGAATGTGAATTGGATGTGTGCAGGATTTGGCCATTTCAAAGCGACTGGCTTTAATCGAGCGGACCTCGTTTGAATCCAGTTTCACTAAGACCCGCCGTCTTTAAGACTTTCCAAAAGATTGCTGTTTCAAGAAAAGCAAAAATACTACACGGTGGCCACGTTTCCATCGGCGAAACGCCGAACCTAAAGGCTGGGATAGACGAAAGGCTCATTTATTTCTGATAAAACAGGGTTACTGTCGAGCTCCGCTTGACCATGCCAAGTATTCGACTCGGTGATGTGACGGAAAAAACGCATTACGACGTGAAGGAAAATGTGACCCTGACTTTAAAAAAAAAAAGAAGCTGTTTACTTGAATCGAAACCCAAGCGGTTCTCTGCTAATTGTTTAGACGATGGAAACGTCGTCACGATCGTGTAGGGCAGCACCCGGTGTGTATGCGTTGTACGAGTGCGATAAACAGGGGTCATATCAACCCTGTATACCTCATCGACATATCTGCAAATATTCTTATCCTGTCTTTAAGTTAAAGGTGTAGGAGATACCATCACCAGCAGAAGCCTGGGACCATTGCAGGGTCTATGACATCACACCAATTCCATATCAACCAATAAGATCACGACTTGCTTGCCGCTTCAAGTCTGACTCCTACACGCAGTGTCACAAACACAATGGTTTAGAATTAGCGAAACGTGAGGCATTTTAAGTAGCATTATCCTACCTCTGTGTTACAGCTTGATGCATCTAAATCTCCACCAGTTGTTGACAAATGGAAATATATATGTATATGGAACAGATATAACTTATAACCAACAATCGGTGACGTAAGACAACAATTAGTGTACTCGACTGTGTGTCTGTCTGTGTCACATGACATTTGTAAGTGTATTCACAAGAGTACCACTGGAATGTGAAGCCAGACTGTATTATGATTTTATTTGTGTGATGATTTTATTTTTGTTTTGTTTTTTTTTTCTTCAAAATTCAACTTTCTCCCCATTATATTTCAAATGATGTCAAATGTGTCTTGCCTCTATCGCTTTTTTTTTGTTTTTTGACAAAATGGAGAAAAATATCAGCCTATACTAGCTGGCATTTACATTTGTGCTCATTTTTGTGCTCCCCTCCGTTTTTTTTTTCTTCTTCACTTTCTCTCACTTCTAAATGTTCACTGTGAGCGCTCTGAACTCAAGTTTACAGCTCTTCATGGTATGTACGTGTATTTGGTCGAGTTCAGTAGAGTGCGTGGATGGTTGTATGACTTTGGTACTGAAGCAACAACTCAATTTTCTACTGGTGGTGGGGATTTGAAAGGGGGTTGGTTGGTTTGAGTTATGCACATTCTTTCTGTACTAAAATATTGGGGTATGTAGAATTCCCTAGCCTTACGCCCTTCCAAAAACACTACGCCGGTCACTGGCTAATTCGCGTTAGCTATCCACCACCCTGCCAACTTTGTACCTCTGTACATATCCATTTTGGACCTGGGGGCACGGGGCGAATTCGGTGGATTCTACCTGAATCTGTCAGGACGGTCACGTGACCCCCTCCTAGACTTGAGGAAGGAGAACCCTCACCCTTTCAACCCCACAAAAAGACCTCAAGCCATTCATTTCCTTATGTGACAATGCAATCCTGAAAGCACTTTGCCTTGTTAATTCATAGTATGAGCTTGTGAATGGTTACTTGTTACTAACAGATGTGAAACTCTGTACATGTATTTAAGAAAGAAAGAACATAATCGTTTTTAATTTGAGCTTATTAAAAATGAATTGGTCTCTCTGACATTATAGACAAAAAAAAAAAAATCCCATATGTTTTTGTTAGTCAGGTTCATGAACTGCTGCAGCCAGTAGGTCTTGTCATTCAGTATCGTGGCTTAGAATTGGTAATGTTGAAATAAAATGCTATTGCTACATACAAGTTGTTGTTGTCTTCTGTTTCTCTTGACACTACACAATGTTAGCATGTTGTAACAGCGTATTTTATTAAATATTACATGTTTGTGATTTGGATACTGTAAAAATGAATGCCCTTTATTGTGGCAACAGATTACAAGCAATATTATTAATTAAATTTAACAATAGAATTGAGTAATAATGAATGAAATTAATTCATTAAATGTAACCATTTAAAATGAGAAACTTTTTTTTAGAAAGTATGTTTAAGTCACCATTATGGTGATCAGTGTTTGTTTTCGGTTTGCTTTAAAATGGCGGTTTTCTCCTTCAGTGATTCTGCTTGTTAACATCAGGTGTCTTCGATGTTGGCAATATAAAATAATTAAGCTTTGACGTCTGTCTGTTATTCAGATATTTTTTTGGTGTAAACTTTACTCGTTTTAAATGGTTAACTTTAAGGAATATTTTGATTAAGTATTAATCAATTCTAATTTGTTCAATTTAATTAATAATATTGCTTGTAATCGGTTGCCACAATTTTATTGATTAAATAAAGCATATTCATTTTTACAGTGTATATTTAAATTGTATCGTATATAGGGTTGGGAACCGAGAACCGGTTCTTTTCCAGAACCGGTTGTGTTTTTGAAAAAATACCGGAACCGTGCAAAATTCCTAAGTTTCGGTTCCGAAAACGGTTCTGATGCCGATGCGATATCATCATGTGGGCGAAGTGCTGGGAGTAGAAGACGCCGTCTTATTCCTAAATGACAAAAACTTCACCACTGAAGTTGCGATTTGCTCTCACACGCGCTGCATTTGTCACACACAGACACACGCACGCTGCGCGCGCCGACCGCCGAGTCACTCTCTAGCCTACATTCAAATCTGTTTGCGCTGAGAGAGAGAGAGCAGTTGTCGATATGAAACTGCTTTACAATCACACAGTCTCAATATTTATTTGTTTCACATATTCAAATGATTTCCGTTACAGAATTAGTGAGATTATAGTTTGAGTAAACATTGACGGTAGTGGTCAAAACAGATGCAGTCCGTATATTTTTTGTGTTCAGAATTTACAAAATATATACAATGAGCGAGTGCATCATAATGTTTTTTTTTCAAACCGTGTTTTTGTCTTATCTTGAATCACTACGTAAAGCCTGTAATAAGCGTTAATACTCGGACTTCTTTAGACTGGCTGGCGGATCGCAGCTGCTGCGGAGTAGCCCAATGCCTGCGTGACTCGTCATGGATATAAACAGAGAGAAGTAGCTCCGGCAACAATGTTCTTCCGCAAGACGCATGCAGTTCTGTTTATTAACTGTTAGAGCGCCGATTTATCCAGTAATGAAATAAGTAAAGTCTTTATGAATCAATCATTCAAACCGTTTTAAAAAATAATCTGTTCTACACACATATGTGTGTTAAAGCATATACTATTCCTTCTGAGAGGGTATTCTTCACTGTTGGAGATACAATAAAGGAGAGGTCTAAATTATTATAGAGAATGCAGAATTTTTTAATTTCCTTTATATATAATTTTTTTTTTTGCAAAGATTGCTTAATAATATTTTGAGTTTGTTTACATTACCAGTCTGTTAAACTAATTTGTCATGTACTATAAGAAATAAACACAAAAAGGATTGTGGATTTTTCTCTTACTAATATTTTTAATTGAATGGGAACCGGAACCGGAACCGGAATCGTTTGGCGGAACCGGAATCGGAACCGGAACCGGAAAATTTCTCACGATTCCCAACCCTAATCGTATAGGCCTTTCAATTTGGGATTTTTAAACTGCTTTGGTTCAAATTAAGGAAATCCCCTTTCCCTTCTCTTTAGCAAATTATATGAATGTCGAGAGCTATATTTTTAATGAAAAATTTTTATTACAAAAACTTTTTATTTACAATGATAGTTGGAAATTATTTTGATATAAAAATTATGGAATTGTAACCAATTTAAAATTATAACTGAAAGATAAGATGCACGATACACCCTTTGGCTGGAAACAATGACATTATGCATATTGTAAAAATTGTAGATTACCTTTTTAACAACAACCATGTTCAATACATTAAAAAATGTTTATTGTTTAAAGTTGCATAGAAATATGTATATGATAAATGAAAGTAAGAGGTATTGATGACTGTATTTGCCTCATACGACAATTTAGTTACATCAACTGGCCAGAATGTCTTTAATCACATCATTCAGTAATGTAGTGCGCTTCAGTTAAAAATCTGTTGACCGTTGATACTATGTATATCCTCCCACTGTTCCTCTTTTTATAGCAATCCATTATCCAGTGCACTTTCTTCAGAATATCCACATCTACACAGTAGTTCATAATGGGATGAGGTATGTACACAATACTGCTGGTTTGGATGGAAATTCTCACACCGCTGTGATATCTGAATACTCTATATGACCATCCCTTAGTCTTCTCCCAGACTAATGGCAATATGATCCTCAAAAAGAGCGATGCAAACCATGATGGCGCCCCCTATCAGCAGGCCCAGACTCTGCAGGAGGAAGCGCTTCAGAGGGCTGAGAGATCCAGCATCTCCATGGAGCATTTCCGGCATCTAGGGAAACAGCGTCACGATGTTAAACTTATGTAAGGATACTGTATTCATTATTTCTGTTATGGAGATGTAGTGGAGTCTTTAACATTATCTACAATGGTAAAGTTGTAAATAAAACAACAGAGTGTGTTCTACAAGAAAAAATGTCGGTGTAATAACAAAAAAAGGCTCAATTTTTTACCATGAAATAACAATGAGAAATATTTCTAAAGCATTTATTAATCTTTGATGATAATTAAAACATTTTCAAGTACATTAAAGCTGCTGTTCGCAGTTTTCCTCTTTGTCGCATCTCTGTTCGAAATCTGCAATTGCAGTTATTCGTGGAATTATTAACTCTATGTGAATTGTACTTCAAAATGGCACAGCTTTTGCATTTTACAGCGGGTGAATCTGCAGTTGTCGCTGGTGATTGTCGTTTGAACTTTTCTGGATCCGCCATCAAATTGATAAGTTTAATTATAACAAGTGCTGTGAGAAAAGGTTATAAATCTCCATCTCCAACATCCTCACACGCAATATAGCTTATACTAACCGAGACTCTTTCTTTATGTGTACAGATGTATCTCCTGTGGAAATCCACCAGTAAAAAAGCTACGGAGTGCAGCTTTAAACCTTTTATAATCAAAGGTATCTGTTAGCCTGCCTATATATTAATATTAATATTATATTATTTAATGGATCTGAGCTAACACAAATTAACAATGAACAGTTGTGCTTTTATTAGCTAACATTAACAAAGATGAATAAATGTTAATAAATGATTTGCTTATTGTTACTTAACATTCAATGCATTAAAGCTACACTGTGTAATTTTTACCCCCACCTAGCGGTGAAAAGGTATATGACCATCCAGTAAATAGTAGTTTCTGTTCCTCTCAATTCCGATTTCGTTTTAACTCCTACGGTGGCCAATGTAGTCCAAGATTAGCATGGCTTCCAGTTCGACCTCGTCCATGAGTGTTAACTTAAACGTAAACGCGAAAGGCGAAGGTTGAATTAATGGGTATGTCCCTCTTTGGCTAATGTACTTTCAAGATGGAAAGTACCCGTATGTATTTTCAATGGCATATTATACACTCACGAGAATAGTTTATTACTTGAACGAAGTAAATATACATTAATGAGCACATATATTTTTGAAAGAACTAAGTGTTTTTAGCTAAGACCAAACTAAAAGAGTTACACAGTGTAGCTTTAACTAAAGGAACCTGAAGTGTAACCTTCAGACTTTCTACTTCAAATTTCATGTTTAATTCACAGTGTGTTACTTGCCATTTCTTTATACTTGACTGTGAAATTTGTTGTAAAGGAAATCCTACACAACTTTTTTTTAATTATAGTTAACAGCAGCGACTTCATGGCATAGGCATTCTGAATTATATCAGCTTTTCAAATAAAACAAAAAATGAAGAAGTCTTAAATGAACATTTTATGTTTACCATATCAGCAAGAGCAACATAAAGGAAGACCCCAGCGGTGACGGTGAGAATCCAAGGTGAGTGTGTCGCCCACTGGTTTCCCAGCGCCGTCCCTGTAAAAACCCCGAGAAAGCCCAGCAGAGCCGACAGTCCGCTGAACACAGCCAGTCTGCGTACAGGCCAGCCTGCGGCCAACAGAACCGCCAGATCACCTGCAGACAAGAGCAAACAAGTATAAAGTTTATGCAATAGTGATGACTCATAATGACCATTTATAGGCGACTAGAAACTACTCAATCCTGTACCCAGCTCATGTGGAAGCTCATGGCAGAACACAGCGATCGTAGTGCTGAGTCCACCGGTCAGACTCTGAGAAAATGCAACGCCTACAGGACAAAAAAATAATAATTGAGATTAAATCTAATAAATGCATTCAAAAATACTTTTATACCTAAATTAAAGATCAGTGTTTCTCATCCAGCAAGCATTTTACACTGTGCACCAATACACAGTAATATATATATATACAGTTAATTAATTAAACATTAATTTTAATATCATTATTTAGTAGTTAGTACACCTTTAATGAGTGATCGTTTTATCTACCAATGGCTAGTCCATCTGTAAGGTTATGTATTCCATCTCCCATCACCACCATCCATGCCATGCTTCTGATGCCTGTTTTCCCTGGTCCGGGCTGCCCATGAGAATGCCCGTGCCCAGAGCTCTCATTCTGATTGGCTAATGAGGTACCTATAATAGGGTACAGATGCATTTATAAGTTATAAGTTGCGTAATAATTCTGTCTCTGTCTCGTGTGTGAAAATAAAATACCTTCCAGGGCGTCAAGCTCCCTCCCAGACTCTACATTGTGCCTCCTTTTCTTTAAAATCTGTTAAAAGAAGGAAATTTTGTAATGAGATATGACAACCATTACACACATCTTTGCTCAAAACTAAAGTGTTTTTTTTATCAGCAGGTCAAAATGAAAGCCCAAAAATGTATCTCCCACTGGATGAAGCTCACCTTGAAATGTTGCTTAAGTCCCAGGAGACTCTCAAAAACAAATAGAAGGTAAAGTCCTCCCATTACACTCAGACCCTTGAAAACAGCATCATGATGTTCAGTGTGTTGACTGAAGATGGCCTGAAATCACAATTTCACGAACAACCAACTTGAATAAAAAATCTAATATATATATATATATATATATATATATATATATATATATATATATATATATATATATATATATATATATATATATATGCATTGTGTTACTTACATGGGGCAGGAGGTGCAGGAGGGCATCTCCACAGAGTGTACCCACTGCCATCCCAGCCATCGGGCAGAGGAATATTTGAAGGATAGAAGGTTGAAGCAGGGGTGCCAGTCCCAGGGCAACCAGGGAGGGCAAACTGATGACAAAGAGTGCCAAGGTGGCCCAACCTAGAGCTGAGATTAAAAATGTGTTTAATCATCACTATCATGAAAACAAACACAAATTTATTCTGATATCACACTTAACGGAAACAGTTTACACACACACCTCTGAGGAAACCCTCACTGGTTTTGCTTCCCTGTGACTGCTCCTCTGTATGTCGCAGACACACTCCGGTGTCAATCTGGTACAGGAGGGCAGGGCACAGGAAGGTGAAGTGGGCAGGAGTGATATGGGACGCTTGGGCCAGCCCAAAGTTCCACAAGAGCTGGGTAACGTTTAGACACTGCGATAAATAATAAGAAATGTGAGATAGGATTCAGATTCAACATTATTACATGGCTCTCATTACTCCCACTTTCTCTTGTTTTGTCAGAACTGACTTCAGTGTTAATATTACTGTAATATTTTTGCAGTGGCCGTCATGTCAGTATAAGGTCGGTTGTAAAGAACTATTCTTTTCCTTATGGAACACATTAAGATAATCAAATTAATCAAATTAATATTTGAAAGATCAGATAACGACAACCTGACTACCTATGTTGTAATGGAAACCCATTTCTGCCACCAAAAGAAAATAAATATGCTTTAGTAAATGATAATTATGACAAAAAAGTTTAAATTATGAGATAAAAAGTCATGTCTGTTATGACATACGAAGTTATGAGATTATAAAGTCAAAATTATGAGATAAAAGTCAAATGTATCTTATAATTTTGTATTTTCAACTATATATGACATTTTAGCTCATTATTATATCATAATTTCAAAATAGTTTGTGTCATCTTTGATGTCATAATTACTAAAAAATTAAATCATAATGTCCACATTTTATCATAAGTTTGACTTTTTATAAATTATGGCTTTGTAACAATTTTGACTTTTTACTCACAATTATGACCTAATACGTCATCATTTTTACTTTTTAATCTCATAATTATGACTTAGTATCTCATCATTTTGACTATTCATGTCATAATTATGATTTACCAAAGCAATTTTTTTTAATGTGGCAGAATGTGGGCTTCCATACTTATATGCATATTTACAGATACTGTGTTTTATGTGTTTTACGATACATGACCATGATCAACTAGCTTTGCCTGTTGAGTTTTACTGATAAAGTATGGCTCTTCTGGCCCACCAGCTAGACCAGCATTAAACCAGCACTAACCAGTTAAAAAAAATCTTTTCAGCAGGGCATATGATTATTATCTCTCCAAAAGAGTTTGTGTACCTCACACAGAACGAGAAAGGCTAATGGATTGAATTTTACTGTCTGCACACCACAAGATATCAACAGACCTTTGGTCATGTGATAGTGAAATAGATTCATTTGTAGACTTTGTCCATTTGTAACACCCTAACAGGAAGTTCAGGAGAAAATTCTCACATTCCCATGAAGGTGTTTCTCTGTAGGATGGTCTGACAATGGTGACCCACTTTCTTCCACTTTGTGTCTTAGGGCAGGGTTTGGGAAATAGTCAGAATGACCCCATTCTGCTGGAGATCCACCGAGCACTGATTTATTGTGAGGTCTAGGATGGAAAGTTTCAATTGATTAGTCTTTGGCACCAACCAGAATCTGAGTATAGAGAGGATGCTTTAGCCATCTTACCTATCTTTGAGTGAAGGTGAGTTTGTGGTCTTTGGATGATGATGGTCATCATGTGAGTGGGAATGGAACAGGGTTTGAGAAGAATGCTTCCCTCCATGTTGGATCTCCAGGATACTGACTTCCCCCAGACCTAAACTGCCTAGCAACTTCTGCAGACCCTCATAGGTTAAAGTCCCATTGTCCCCATACTGAAGGAACAGGCGTTGCAAGTAGTAGCCCTTGAGAGAATATTAAATCTGAATTACTATTTTGTCAAGATCTATCATTTTCAAGGTCCACAGATGTTAATATTTTTTATGATAGCATTGGGGTCAATCCATGAATTTTAACACAAGTGCTGAAACTATTTAAATTTGAGTGATTGCATCCGAGTTGATACGATTTTTTTGTGCTCAGTGTTAAAATCACTTGATCTCTTTATGTTTTGAAAATCCCTCAAGGAATGTGGTAGATCTACTTTACCAGGCATGTAACCAGTAAATCACAAAAGCCACTGTGAATTCTCAAAGACAAGCATATGTCACTTAAACTTTAGTTTTTTGAATAAAAATCCTTTATACCTGCTCTTCAAAAGCTTCCTCTAATTGTTCCTGTGTAGACTTGACTTCTGTGCTCTCATTCAACTTTATGATCGTGTCGACCTGGGCATGTGTTGCCAGTATGAAGAATGGTGGGATCATCACAGAAATCATACAATGGTAGAGCAGAAGCTTCAAGCTTAGGTTCGTCCTGGGGAAAATACAAATAAATATGAATAATTGCATCATGTGGGCCTCAGCAATCAATATAAGAGAGTTTTAATTTAGTATAATTCAATAGTTGCTGAAACAATTAGAAGATTCAAGTCATTTCAAAGCAGTTTAATAGGAAATTAATGCATCAAAGATTGTTTTGGCTGTACAACAGGTCTAAAGAGATCACTACAATGTCTGACACCAAAGTCTGCAATTTAAAGTCATGTATTTATTTTATTTTTTGCAATTATGCTATAACGTTTTTAGCAATTTTCCTCTGTGTAGGCATATTTGTGTAGAATTTTCAAATTAAATTTAGCTGAAGACATTCTTTCTATAATAAGAATAAATACTTTGGAAAATTCGAAAATAAAAACCTTGCAGGAAGCACATTGCATTTAATTTATTACCCTGCAGTCTTTAAAGTTTCAGTAATGTAAATTTAGAATGTATGATCAACTTTTTACCTGACTATCTGTCCACCCATGATTTTCTGCAGTCTCTTAAGCGCGTTACATGATCTCCTGCTGTATCCCCTCACAAGCATGCCGCAATGTATTTATTAATCTGAGGTTAATGTTTCACCAGCAGCCAGTTTTGAGTCAATCGGAGGAGATCACACGACGCGAAGGCATTGATCAACTTGGTTTATCTCATGACTGTGATGTAAGTTCAACACATTCTCACTCCTTTCAAATATCATTGAAGTACTTTGACCCATTCAAGTAGCTAACTTTCATGTCATCTGTATTTTCATTCTTATACATCGGCTACCTTATGATGTTTTAGATTAGTAAGCATGCAATATGTTTAAGGGAAAATCTGGGATAATTGCTCCTCCACACACACTCTGTCCTGTAGGCGCAGCAGCAGATTCAGACTTCATCCGCTCTGCTCAGGAAGAGAAATCAGCCATCTCTCAAATCACTACAAATATCAGTCTCTACATCCAGAAAACACATTAAAAGCCTCAGAGGAATACCGCGATCTACGGAAACAGGTATTACAGTCCTGCTGAGATATTTTGAACGCGTTATTCGTGTCGACCAACGTTAGTAACATTACCGTATAGTGGCACAAACTGAAGGCAAATGCAGTCACGAAACATGAACACAAGACGTTATTTGTTCAGACGGTTTTTAAATGGCATGTACATGGGTTTTGCAGACGGCTAGAATTTGTAATTTGACATTTAATAACGTGTGTTGTAATGTTTTTAGACCAAAGCTGCTCTTTCGGCATGCGTCAGCTAGTTGGATTTCATGCTAGTTAGCCACGCTAGCTCCTTAGCATGAGCTGATGCTGTAAATGTAATTTTACAGTGAATAAAATACATTTTGAGGCATTCAATCTTTGTTGTACCAAAAAAATCGTGAACACGGCAAATACGTCATATGGTTGGGAGGACTATGTTGGTTGTTATTGTACATCAGTTTTAGCGAGCCGGCTAATGCTAAGCGCCTTTAGTCTCCCAAACACATCAGCAAACGTGTGTTTCAGGTTGGCAGACATTAAGCTGTTTTCATCGCCAGGAAGTTTAATAGCTATACACGTTTGTTTACAGGTGTACTGTCATGCCTGGTTCATTACTGTATGTAGGTTATGTTAGCAGGAGTGAAGTTAACCTGTCTGTCTGAATTCGATTCCAGCACGATATATTAATGGTCAAGACTGTCTGTTATTTTCTGATAAAATTACTTATGATCAATATGCATATCGTTTAAATGGCTACATCTGTCCATTTAACATTAACTCTTCACGGAATACCCTTATTTTTTTTCTTGGTGTCTTTGCAGGACTCTCTCTCTCTCTCTCTCTCTGTCTCTCTCTCTCTCTCTCTCTCTCTCTCTCTCTCTCTCTCTCTCTCTCTCTGTGTATATGTATATATAATATGTAATAATGCTTGTTTTGTGAAAAACACTCTACAAATAAATATGAATTGAATGGTCCTTCAGTGATAGCAGTGTAGGACCCTCTTGATGGCATCCAAGGGTCTCCCACTTAAATTTAGTGGTTTGTCAGACCTGTCATCTGCTAAGTGTTCCAAAATATGAGGCAGTTTACACTTGTTTAATGGAATAAAATGGGTTTGGCACTCGTAAACGTGTGCCAGAGCCGCTCTGTGCTTCCAAATGCACATTTGGTAATCATGCATCCGTGCATGATCGACTAGATCTTTATTGAATGAAAACGAGGGATGCCATCGCTGAAATGAGGGTTTAGGGGAGAACGTTCTGAACCACCCACGCTCTCCCCCTCCATCTGCTTAGACAAGCTAAAATTAGGTCACCACCAGCCTACTGGGACAAAACACCACCCCTCCCTGAACTGTTATGAATCAAAAGAGATGCTGTGACTACCCTTTTTTGCTTTGGATTAGTTTTAACAAATGAGAAAAAATTGATCTGTGTAGTAACCCCAGCATTTTCCTTCTTCTGTATTATGTATTATTAGATTTAAAGGACAATTAGTGCTACTAAAAGTGTTTTTAGCACTGTTAGCCTACATCATTCATGTTTAATCCTTGCAGACCACATCTGCTTTGTTTCTGTAGGCTGTGAAATAGTAATGTATGTCTAAAAACAAAAGACTTTGGGATTGCATTGAGTGAAAACTCACCGCTATAATTCGAGGATGATTACCAGGGTGTTGCTGTGTTGTTGCCAGGGTGTTCTTGGTGGTTGCTTACTGCTATATATGGCTCAATGTAAGACTATGGGATTTTTTTTTTTTGCATGCCAGGCTAAATTCTGATTGGATGTTTTGAATTGGAGTCATTTGTTTCTTAATCACTCTTAAAGCACTATCCACTGATGGCCACCCACCCAAATATACTGTATATATTGCAAAGTGAACACATTTCACCACACATCCAACCCTGTGATAGGGTTTGCACATGTGTCTTGTACCATTACGTCATCCGCCATTTTAGATGAGCTTACTCTTAATTCGATTGCGATGCATCAAGGATTTAATGGTTTTGGTTTTTCACTCAAGAGACAAAGTGGAAGGAAAAAGCATCTCGATAAGCTTAAATGACGACTTCTATTGGATACAAAACCTCTTGAAATAGGGAATGGACTAATTGATGATGGTAAATATGCCAAACTTGTCTGAAGCTTCCAAGAAGTGTTGCAAACAGGCTTTTGGGGTTTTAATAAATAACAGTGTATTGATTATATCGTAATGTTTGTCGTTTTTACTTTCTCTTTTTTAAGGGGGATGGTCGCTCTTGCATCGTAAGGAAAGTCGCCTTGCCCACCTGACACATGAGGACCGCTCATTGTACAGGGATCATGAGGGCTGTGCTTTAGTGAGGTATGAATGGCCTTTTCTTTTGAATATAATGGCAGGTAAATCACTCATACTCCATTAATGCTGCTGTGCACTTTCTAATTGCTCAGATCATGAATATTTCATAAGAGTTAATGCATTTTAGTATAGTTCATACCTTTTGTTCTCTGTGGTACAACAAGGTCTGCTTTCTGTGAGTTCTAGGACAAATATTGATGAGGTAATGATGAATAATGAAGATAGATTTTAATAAAATTTTCTTTGGAATTTATTTTGGCTAAAAACCGCTCACTTGATCAAATGTCTTACTGACATGTAAAATGACTAACAGTTTGTTTCGTTTTTATTTGTAGTCTAGGAGTGAGTTTATCCAAAATGGTTCTTAGTAGTAAATTGGCACTGAAAACACTCAAATATATTGAAAATACGGCACTGCAGTCTCTGTAAATATAATTTATTTGCAGAAATATGTGTAGATTTAAAAATAAATGGAAATTCAGTTTGTTCTCAAATATTATTTCAAAAACAGATAATCTGCTTGTGAATATCTATTTCTGTTCTATGTTTTCCTTGCTACTAAGTGAAATGTATCACATGGCAATCAGGGCTATTTAATGTTAAATACACAGCTACATGAAGGGATTTGGTGCCATAAGATTTTGTTGTGGAAAAATAGAAACCAACCAATTGACAAAATGTTGGTTGGGACTAAAATTGAATTTACATGTAAGTGATGTTTTTTTTTTGTGGGCTTTTTTTATCATGTCACACCTGTTTAAACACTGTTAAATCTAACTGATTATTTATTGCTTTCCATTTTGTTGTTCCCCAAAGTCAGAAAGGAGGTGAAATTTCCATTCCACACAATATTAATCTTAATGCAATCTCTAGGCTTCTCAAAAATTGTTTACTGAGTTCGTAGCCACAGTTCACAGTCAACCCATATTCCTTGACAGCACATTAGTAATCTCATACCAGCATACTACACAAACACACAGCCATTGCATTTTTCACTTGAGAGTGCTGTGTAGTCCTAGTGGAAAAAGAAGAAAAAGGTCACCTTTGAACAGGAAATACGATCATGTTACTTCTGTATTGTAGCAGGACATTGAGTGCTTCCGTGTTCAGCTTAAAATGTCATGATCATTAAACCTCTATCAGTTTACTTTTAGTGCTTCTTCTAAGGAGTTTTTTGATTGTTGTTCCGATTCCGAAACTTACATTTTAAAGCATTGTTGTGCTTCTGGCGTAAAGGCTGTTCCAGAAGCGAAAGCAGTGCCTTGTTTCAACCAAATTTAAAGGCGGAATCGCTTGTATCCCTAAGAGAACACATCTTCTGTTATTGTTTTGACCTACGTTGGTTTAAATCATTTTTAGGCCTGCTTCCTCAGTTTTCGGTTTTCACTTAAAAATGGCCAACAAAGGCCACAAGTTTTCAGTTTCATCTTGTTGTACATCCAGGGCTCATCATGCTTTTCTGTCTCAGAGGCAATTGGCAAGCGTACTGGCCAAGCTCTCACTACACAATCTTCCTGCTGGTTTAATTTCAGATATCAAAGGGTTCCGGTAATGTGCCATGGGGTACGACATCACCAGGTTCCAAGGAGAGGTGGACGAGGATCTGTTGTGTCCCATCTGCAGCGGGGTGCTAGAGGAGCCAGTGCAGGTCGATATTTATTTTCATTCAACCGCAACATCCCAGAACACCCTGATATAAGCCTCTGTCACGACATTATGGGTTTGTGGTTATCAGATATCACTGCTCTGAGACCATTGTGTGAATGTGTTTCACAAGGGTCCAAAATTTCCTTTATAAAACCTGGCAGTGGCAAGGGAAATTTATAGGCTATATTTCTTTCACCAAAAAATAAAATAAAAAATATGCACGCACACACAGTTTTATTAATAAAATTGCTAATAAAAAAACGTTTTATTTTAAATTTAAAACTACATTTATTTTAACATGAAACAACTAGACAGTAAAAGGTCTGAAAAATGCACTTCCTCATCAGTTTTTCTGTTCTCTCAGGCCCCTCACTGTGAGCATGCCTTCTGTAATGCCTGCATCACACAGTGGTTTGCACAGCAGCAGATCTGCCCCGTGGACCGCACCGTTGTGACCCTTGCCCACCTTCGACCCGTCCCCCGCATCATGCGTAACATGCTCTCCAAGCTCCAGATGTCCTGTGATAACGCTGGCTTCGGCTGCACGGCCACCCTTCGGCTCGACCAGCTGCAGTCACACCTCAAGGACTGCGAGCACAACCCCAAACGACCCGTCACGTGCGAGGAAGGTTGTGGGTACGTACTTGAACAACCATAAACACTCACCTACCTGCAATTATCTAATCAACCAATCACATGGCAGTTGCTTCAATGCATTTAGGTGTGTGGTCCTGATCAAGACAATCTCCTGAACTCCAAACTGAATGTCAGAATGGGAAAGAAAGGTGATTTTAAGCAATTTTGAGCGTGACATGGTTGTTGGTGCCAGACGGGTTAGTCTGAGTATTTCACAATCTGCTCAGTTACTGGGATTTTCATGCACAACCATTTCTAGGGTTTACAAAGAATGGTTTGAAAAGGGGATAAACATCCAGTATGCGGCAGTCCAGTGGGCGAAAATGTCTTGTTGATGCTAGAGGTCAGAAGAGAATGGGCCGACTGATTCAAACTGAGAGAAGAGCAACTTTTGACTGAAATAACCACTCGTTACAACCGAGGTTTGCAGCAAAGCATTTGTGAAGCCACGACACGCACAACCTTGAGGCGGATGGGCTACAACAGCAGAAGACCCCACCGGGTACCACTCATCTCCACTACAAATAGGAAAAAGAGGCAATTTGTAAGAGCTCACCAAAATTGGACAGTTGAAGACTGGAAAAATGTTGCCTGGTCTGATGAGTCTCGATTTCTGTTGAGACATTCAGATGGTAGAGTCAGAATTTGACGTAAACTGAATGAGAACATGGATCCATCATGCTTTGTTACCACTGTGCAGGCTGGTGGTGGTGGTGTAATGGTGTGGGGGATGTTTTCTTGGCACACTTTAGGCCCCTTAGTGCCAATTGGGCATTGTTTAAATGCCACGGCCTACCTGAGCATTGTTTCTGACCATGTCCATCTGACCATGTTCGTGCCCTGGATGTGCATCCCACAAATCTCCATCAACTCCAAGATGCTATCCTATCAATATGGGCCAACATTTCTAAAGACTGCTTTCAGCACCTTGCTGAATCAATGCCACGTAGAATTAAGGCAGTTCTGAAGGCGAAAGGGGGTCAAACACAGTATTAGTATGGTGTTCCTCCTAATAATCCTTTAGGTGACTGTAGTTCTCTCTTAGTAATAAAATCTGGGAGCACAAGCTCATTTGCATTTAAAGGGACACACATAAACATTTTTGCTAGGGATGGGCAACGATTAATCACAATTAATCGCATACAAAATAAAAGTTTGTGTTTACATAATATATGTGTGTGTGGAGTAGGGCTGGGCGATATATCGAATATGTACGATGTATCGTTATATTTTTTGAAACGATATGGAATGAGGCAATACCGTTTATATCGATACAGTAGTTTGATATGAGCACATCTGAAAATTAGCGGAGTTTGCAGTGTGAGCTGCTGCAGTGAAAGTAGCTAGGCAACGTAGTACAATTTGTCCTAAACATGACACAAGCTTATATTAATTGCGTCAAAATCACTTTGATATAGTTAACAAGTTTAAGGCAGCTTGCCGCCCTGTCAAATGCTCTGACAGACACTGTTGCTGACTGACAGATATACTTGCGCTGTTTAATGCGTTTGAGATGTGGTGCTTTCCTCAGTGCTCAACTTACATTTCACATATTCTCCATCTGTAAATGTTAGAAAGTAAAGCAAATATGTCCATTTCACAACAAATATGTCCATGTCAGAAGAGGACGAGCTTCTGCAAGTGAATCTCCGCTAAAATTCATGCTTCCTTGAACGAGCGCCGGCGCGCGCATGCGCGTGAATAGTACTACGTAGTACGCAATAATTCTGACTAAAATAAACATATTGCTAAAATATTTGTTGTTGGAGAAAATAAATGTGCCATATGTGGAATTTTAAACCTACAAGTATATATTTTTAATGAAAGTGAAAGTGATTATAATGGGGTAATCAAATGCAGGCTAATATAATTAGTTTGTGCTTTTGTTTTTGTTTTTATTTTCATTTTTAGTTTAGCTTTTAGTCAATATAAAAACAAAAGCTTTTTGCACATAATATATTGCATAGCCTATATTATATTTGTTTCCATATCCTTCAATATCAACATTGTTTGTAGGATATCATTGGGCCGAATGTGAATATACTGTGTATATATATATATATATATATATATATATATATATATATATTTTTTTTTTTAATATAAATATTTTCTTTATCTAAATAGAAAACGTAGAAAGTACCGAGATATATATCGTATATCGCCATTTGACCAAAAAATATCGAGATATGATTTTTTGGCCATATCGCCCAGCCCTAGTGTGGAGTGCATAATTAATTTGTATATATAAATACCCACACATGCATGTATATATTTAAGAAAAATGTGTAATTAATATATCAAATATTTATATATAATATTAATTATGTATAAATATATATAAAGTATATACATGCAAATATTTCTTAAATATATACATTCATGTGTGTGTCTTTATATATACAAATTAATTATACACACTACACACACATATATTATGTAAACACAAACTTTTATTTTGGATGCGATTAATCCTTGCCCATCCCTAGTTTTTGCTCACCCTCCCAAAAGTGGTAATTTTAACAAGCTATAAAAATTATCTCTGTTGTATTTTGAGCTTTAACTTGACATGCACACTCTGGGGACATCAGAGACTTATTTTACATCTTGTTAAAAGTGGCCTAATCGGTGCCCTTTAATAGTTTTCAATGTCAACATGCGCAACACTGATGTGTTTGACTTGCGCCATGGCTCGCTGCTTTTTCAGCTCTTCGTCTTGCAACAACACATCCTGTGTGAAAGCTCCTCAATTGCTCCATTTTGCTGAAATGCTTTGTTTACTCTTTAGGCTAGAAATGCCCAAAGATGAGATGCCAAATCACAACTGTATTAAGCATCTACGCAGTGTGGTGCAGCAACAACAGACCAAGATTGCAGATCTGGAGAAGACTGCCGCTGAGCATAAGCACCAACTTGCAGAACAGGTCAGACCTGGGAATGTCACAGTGGATTAAAAACTTTGCAAAACTTCTTGAATTCTATGTTCTGTATTTTTAATCTGCCCATGATTTATTTTTTCAGAAACGCGACATCCAGCTCCTGAAAGCTTACATGCGAGCAATACGGAGCGCTAACCCTAACCTACAGAACCTGGAGGAGAGCATAGAGTACAATGAGATCCTGGAGTGAGTGATCTGTTCTTCTTCTGCCTCTGTTTATGCCAATATGAATTCAAATTAGACTGTTTTAAACTATTAATGAATAAGAAAATTTATATTTTTCTCATTTTAAACTTGCTATAAAATAATTGGGGTTGGCATGCATTGATTTAATCAGAAATACAGTCGAAATTGTGAAATATTACAATTATTAGTGTTTTCTTGTAATAATATATTATGAATTATTTTGATGCAAAGCTGAATTTTTAGCAGCCATTACTCCAGTCACATGATCCTTCCGAAATTATTTAAGACAATGGTGAAAACCATTGTGCTGCTTTATTATTTTATGAAACTTTACTAATATTTTCACATTTCCTTTACTAGAAAGTTTAAAAGAATAACCTTTATTTTAAATGCAAATCTTTTGTAAACCTTAATAAAACTATACATTTAAAAAAAAAAAATTCTTACTGACCCTAAACTTTTAAATGGTACTTTTAAATATATATGTGTTTGTATCTAGTATATTTATCAAAAAAAATATCAAAATTAAAAATGTGAAGGGACAGAGTGTAAATTTTACTGTTAGAGGGTGCTTATTCAAAACAATAACAAGGGCGTAGCTTGATGATGCCGTGAATGAGCGTGGAATCATGGGAGTTGTCGTCTTCACCTCTACAGTTGATGGAAAGCAATCAGATGGGACTCAGGCAGAAATCCTATTCATGGATGAGCTAATGTGTTCAAGTTTTATTAACATTACTGCGGTATGAAACAGGCTGGCCGAGAGCCTGGGACATTTTCAAATTAAAATTGTAGGGTAACGCAGCACTCTTTTACTCGGTCAAAAAAAATAATCATACTAAAAATACATAAGTTATAACGTTACTCTTTTCGTTCACTCGGGTGTTGTTATAAGACACTTGCTGCCCACTGCAGTAAGCTAGATCGATATTAAAATATCATATTAATAAAAGTTGGATGCTAAATGGCATGCCATTAATTTTAAAGTATATTTAATGCTGCATAAAATGCTTTATTACTGTTACTGCAAATAAAACTCTTTCTGATTATGCTATGTTAGCCACTTGGCAAAAGTGCTGTCTATGAGGCATGGTACAAACATGTTAACACGTTTGCAAACCTGTCTAATATAGCACATAATATATTAAAGCATCTTTATTGATTCTACGGAATTAAAACCTGAACTCGAGTGTAAGGTGGGTTTTACGTCATTGACAGGCAACACAGTGATGCATGACATTACACTGGTGATTTCTCTGGATTTAAACCATATAGGAAACATTTGGGATAATGTTAGTTCACAAGTCAAAAAAGTGGACCTATTAATGCAAATATATTACATATTGTGCCTTTTAAATATAATGCCATAATCATAGTTTTTTTGCATTGTGCTGTGAATAGAATGCCAGTTATTATGTAAATAATGAGCAAGTAAATTACTAATGAATAATATAATGTTAATACCATAATAGACAATCAAATGACTGTCAAACTAACTAGACTCGTTTGGCCACAGATGGGTGAACTCTCTGCAGCCCGCTCGCGTGACCCGTTGGGGAGGAATGATCTCCACACCAGACGCCGTCCTCCAGGCCGTCATCAAACGGTCGCTCATAGACAGTGGATGTCCTTTGTCGATTGTTAATGACCTCATCGAGAACGCCCACGAGCGCAACTGGCCCCAAGGCTTGGCCACGCTGGAGACGCGGCAGATGAACCGTCGATATTACGAAAACTATGTGGCCAAGCGCATTCCGGGTAAGCAGGCCGTGGTGGTGATGGCCTGTGAGAACCAGCACATGGGTGAAGATATGATTCTGGAACCAGGTTTGGTTATGATCTTCGCTCATGGTGTGGAGGAGATCTTATAGTCTGTATATAGGTGGGCGCAAATGATGAAAAGCAGGAAGGGGTTTACAAAAACTGACTTACCACCCCCCACCCCCAATCTAAAAGATTCTTAATTCATCCCACTAAAAATATCAAGACCTCTTCGGCAGTCTTTACCTCAAATTCTCTGGAAGGAGGAAGGCAGAGAAGGCTCTCCACTCGTTTGATGACCTCCAGCATTCCTATTCTCTTTGCCTTAAAAGGACATTTTTTTCAAAAAGTGGACCCTAATGACGCATACCAACTTGAAACATTATCAGGGATGATGGTACACACATGTTTTAACATTTAACATTGAAATCGAAAGGATTTGAAGTGATGTCTAATTTCCCCTTTAACATTTATTTCTCTTGAGAGCAAGTACATGTCAATCACAGCTTTCAACCGTGTAAAAGACCAGTTAAGATTCTTGTAAATACAGATGATTAAGAAATATAGACAAATATGCTATCTGTTCTTGTTCTAATAGAGTAGTTGACATTTTTGCTGTCTTCATCTCAGTTTGCTATTTACAGTAGTGTGTTTTAGCTACCATTGATCTCAATGTTTTTTTTTTTTTTTTTAAAGAGAGCTATGATTAAAGTATGCTAGATAAAGAGCTAACTCTTCTCTGTGTTAACTTTGCACTCTATGACGATTGGAAAAACAAGATGTCATGAATTTTGTTTTGTGAAGATTTGTCCTTCTTGAGCGCAAAGAGTGAAGAAGGATTTGTATGATGTAAATCAACAACCGGTTAGATAACTTTTATTTCACACTGCTCTGTGGGTTTTTATTATGTGCATCCAAAAACTCTAAATTTTCAAATATTTTTTTTTTTCCAGAAACTATTTTTTATGCTTTTTGTTATTTTCTACTGGCATCTTTCTCACTATTAATAATCGGAATTAGACATAAGACTGACTGGTTGACCTCAAAGGTTTCTTCTAGGTGATTTAGCGAAAACATAAATGGTGGATGAAATGTATATGAAGTATACAAACATTTTGAAAAATGACCAACCTACAGCTGATGTAAAACCATTATGTCTGCAGATGCTCAACCATATCTGGAGTGTTTTTAATCCATCATTTGCCACAGCACCTCTTGACACATTTTAAAGAATTACAAGATACGACGGTGGTATGTTTGTGTATATTGTGCAATTGGTTTAAGAATTTATTTTGCATATTTTACGTACCTTCATTGTACATAGTTGATTTAATCCTTTAATTAATTTGTGTTGTACGACCGTTGTCTTTGCAACCAAAGTGTTCTATTGTGTTGAATGCACATCGTGCTTGCTTTTTTGTCGTTGATGTTATTGCTCGAACACCGAAAAAGGACGTTCAGCGATTCTGAAATGTATCTTTGAAGCTATTGTGTGTCATCTGCTTCAGTGTTACATAGACCTGAATGCTCAGTGCGTTGTTTACAGTAGCTTTTTTTCCGCAAATGTTGTTTAATAATAGCTGAAAACTAAGGACCCAGAATGTTTTAACTGCAATATTCAGCCGGGTCTATGTGAATTAGAGAGAAATGTATGTGAACTGCCTTATCACACTTCATTCGACACTTTACTGCATGTTTGCTGTATAATGTGTCACATGGCTTCACAGTTAAACAACCCAGTGGATTTCACTTCATGGATCTGATCACCTTATGCTAGAAAGTGTCGTTCATTAGACACCGGTTCACTTCTTCTTGTGCTCAGTTTAATGAGGCCGATTCGTCATCTCTTATTGGACACGTAAGACTTTCTTGACTCTCAGGATTTATCATCTGACGTCAGGGATGAAACGTTCAAAGAGCTCATGTTTCCCGCTGCAGCATTGTCCGTGGATGTGGCAGTCTTCTGTTTGTTTTTGTCTTTCATTCTTGCTTTTGTGCTGTGGGTTACTGAAAGAATATGAATAAATATCATTTGATTTTGCAATATGACAGTAGTGTCTTTATCATTATTATTATTAACTTGGTAACAAGAACTTCTTGTTGGTTGAGTTGGTTCAGAGGTTTTAAAAATGACCAATGCAATGTTAATCAGCAGACCTTACTTCCTCTTGCTTTTGCTGTTTTTTCTCTCTTCTACCACACAATGTCACTAAAGTGCAAGTTATTTGAACAGTCTGAAGGGTTTTTCTATTTCCAAATGACAATTTTCTGCTAACTTTGCCATTATTACCGTTTAGTGACTACATGGTAACTTTTATCTGCTGATCTCCATCTATTTAATGGCTTGAACCCAAACAGTGCACACAGGAATAATCCTCCTGTTGTTGGTATTTTCTGTGACCAGGCCATAGCCACTAATGCAGCAAGTCATTTTAATCCAGCCCATTATAGTGCCCCTGAGGAACGGAATGTCACATTGTTTTCCCAGCAACTCCCTTGATCAGTTTCGGCTCCACTCAAACTACATTGGCTGGTCTCATAATTCATAATAAAATTATCTCATGGTTTTGATATTGCAAATATCTACCATCCTCTCATGAGCAATCACAAATACCTGACCAGTGGAACAATTTTGTTTCATGTCTCCATAATAAATTAAATGGTTCTTAATCCCTTTCAAAAAGTAAGGATTTGTTTGGAGCTTTTACAATCTACCACCTGTATCAGTTAATCAAGCATTTGGCAATCCAATATATCCTAGCTTAATTTAATGACAACTGTTAAGGTAGTTGCACTGAATACTGATATAAATACACTCACTCAGATGCCAAACCTTACACTGAAAATAATGGCATTTAATGACACTTTTAATAGTTTAAATGTCACACCACCCTGTTGATTGTCGATGTGTAACCAAAAATCATAATGTAACAAGTTTTTGTTAATTAATCATTCATGCATCTATCTATCTATCTATCTATCTATCTATCTATCTATCTATCTATCTATCTATCTATCTATCTATCTATCTATCTATCTATCTATCTATCTATCTATCTATCTATCCTGTCCGTCCGTCCGTCCGTCCATCCACCTATATCTGTCTGTCCGTCCATCTATCTATCTATCTATCTATCTATCTATCTATCTATCTATCTATCTATCTATCTATCTATCTATCTATCTATCTATCTATCTATCCATCCATCCATCCATCCATCCATCCATCCATCCATCCATCCATCCATCCATCCATCCATCCATCCATCCATCCATCCATCCATCCATCCATCCATCCATCCATCCATCCATCCATCCATCCATCGTTAGTGCGCTCGATGGGAAGCACACACACACACACACACACACACACACACCCCGATGTGTCAAAGTGCATCGCTCAGCTCAGACACACGAGTGCGGGCGGTGCTGTGACTTTATGGGAGTGTCACTCACAGTTAGGCGTGTTCACTTTACTGTCAGTTCTCTGCCGGACAAAAACAGCTAAACGCTTTCTCAAAGACGAAGCTTGTTCTGCCTCCTTCGCCACTTATTTATTAATTTTGTAAGCACTGAAGCAGTTTTTGGGTGCATCCGAGTAATTTTGCTCTTGGCGTCTGTTTTAAAAACAAGACAGAATCACTAACCGGCTGCTGCAGACCTCAAGACATTAAGGTATGTGTATTGGCAAAAATTTTGGTGAGACGAGCGAGTTTTAGAGAGTTGACGACTTTAAAGCAGTAGCAGGGATTTATACTGTGCTGCATGTAGGTTTTATTTCATTATTTCTAACGGCTGCGACTCAAAACCTTTGACTCTCCATGCGGAGTGTTCACTTCATATGAGACTTCGATCGATTGTATCGATGCCCAGAATGTTGTCTTGATAACGATGGGAATTGTAAGGAATTTAGCTAATGATTCTTTCGATTCGTTTTAACTTGTTCGGTTCCTTAACACTTCAATTTAAGAATGTCATACTCTGACGAAGAAAAATATTTTTAAAAATCGACTGCACTCAACGGTTAGCAATTGATGAGTTGATTCAGGTTTCAACAAGCATTAACATAACAATATGTGTGTGTGCGTGTGTGTGTTTGTACAAAAATCAACCGAATAAAATTTTCTTTCAAAAGGTTTATAGCCTAACGTAATTTACACAGACCTTTTTTTTGAGGCCACACAAATGCAGTCCAATAATTGGCTCTAGGCTATAATAAATACAAATAATACTAAACTAACAAAATGTGGTATCATATTTCTATTATTGTTTTTATAAAATAAACTCATCATGTGTAGGCTATAAATTACTGCCATATGAACAACCAGTAGCCTAACTCATCGTTTCGAAGTTGTCTTCATCTGGTTGTTCTGTCAGTTTTTTATTCTCTTTCACTTAACTAACGTTAGACTGTGCAGTCAATCATGTTAAGTTATGTCACCGTTATGTGCTTGGAAACTTAAAAGACACTTAAAGGTACAATTACAATATGTAAGAATTTTGTAATAAAACATCCAAAAATCACTTGCACTGTGATATATTTCCTGCAGTTGTGTACTTACAATATCCCAAAAGTCTCCCAAGATTTTTTTTATTTCAGAGAAATTCCCATTTTGGGAAATTCCCAGAAATTCCCAAAAAATGTCAGTAGCACCTCATTTCAGTATACGAGATCCAGGGGGCGGAGTTGGATCCAGATCTAAGGGGTTAAGACGGGTAGGGTTATGGATCAGGCTGTGGAGATATTGTAGGATTAGGGGCGGGGTTACGGGTCAGGGGTGGGGTTAGGGATCAGATTATTCCTTTATATCCGCGGGACTCGCGTGTTATCTGTCTCTTTAGCAATCGCGACCTGCTTCATACCACTGTAATGTAAAAAAAAATTTATATTTGCACATTAAAACATTATTATATCCATCAGCTTGAGAGCAAGTCCCATCACTCAGCTCATCACTGCATCATAAACCTATGCCTTTGTTATTGTTGAACACTGCGCCCTGTAATTGAAATGGAAAAAAAAAAACCCTACATATTGTGCCTTAAGAATGAAAAGTCGTAGATACGGTGGTTTTTGGAAGGGTTTTTTATGGTTTAAAAAAACAAATATATGGTTACACTCAACATACTTCAAAGAATAGGCTATCATACTGATCTTTTACTGGGTTTAGGTGGTCTCATACTCTGACCAACCAAAAAGTCCCCCAAACCCATTCAAAACCATCAAAAACAGACTGGCAAACCACCATAGCTTGGTTTAAAATGTTTTATTCAGCAATTATTTTTTGTGCTTCTTATCATGATGTTTTTTGACACATCTATCTGAACTGGTTAAGTAACTGTTGCGTTCTCTGGGTTGTTTATTTTACCATTATCTTTGATGAATATCTAAATGTCTGCATTACTCAAGCTGCCTTAATAATACAGATTTTATCTACATATTTATTTCAAACGTCTTCTAGGTTTCCAATAACTGTGGACTGATTATGTCATTAAGTTCATCTTATTTCATCATCATAAGAGATTTCAACTCCTCCAGTTAGACAGACATCTTTTTTTTTTAGTAGACTGGAAATTTTTTGTCACATATTCAATTTTAGCCGACCGGGCTTTATGAGTCACAACAGTTGAAGAGAAAGTGTTTTTTCAAGGTCTTTTTCTGCTCCCCTGCATTTAAACATTTTTGCCAAATTGCTTACTAAGTCAGACATTCTTGTTTTTCCACTCTTGTTTCTGCTGTCTTGACCAAAACGTATATCCATCCCAGTGCAACATGATTATATTTTAGTTTGCGGTTTTGTTTCTCTTACTCATTTGAAATCCTATACTAAATTTGTGGAAGCCCCTAAAGAAATTAAAAGTCCTAATTTAGTCCCACATTCTCTCTGGAGCTTTTGGCTTAGTTTACCTGATAATGGTAACTCGTTCTCTGAGGAATCTATAGCCTTATGGGCTTGGCTGGAAAAGTACAGGGTTGGTTTACTTTCTTCCCAGCAATCTCCTGCTTTTATAACTCATGAGCCAAGTAGTGATAAACTGGATTCAGGAGTAGATTGTCTTTCCTAAACCCAAATCATAATCTTAACTGCATTTATGCAACAGGGACTTTGTAAATGGAATGTGGGTCAATATTCATTTCACCACAGATTTCCTCACTTTCACCTGGTGAGTGGTAGTACGTATTAATCACTAAAAGGTGGGTGAACAAAACCTGGAAATTGCTGCTCCAAAGAGCTTGTATTCCCATTTTTCCATTCAGTGGTCAGTAAAACACCATCTTCTCTAGCTTGGTAGCCAGAGTGGTGCAGATTCCCAAGAGTATCAGGCAGACAAAAAATTATGAGAAAAAACCCATTTAGGAACCAAATTGCATTGCACTTATACAACGTACACTCAGTGGTCTAACAGTGCTCGTCAGTGTCATAATGATTGAGATCATTCAAATCAATAAAGGCAGGCCTTACTGTTCACAGAAGATGAGGGAGAATTCCAATGCAACACTTAAGCAGTGAAAGAGTGCATGGTTAGATACAAGTAGCTAAACATTTAATATTTGACGACTGTTTTACGGTAGAAAGGTACTGACAGTACATTTGCATGTAGTCATTTAGCAGGCGCTTTTATCCAAAGCGACTTACAACTAGAGGTATATCAAGCCGATTAATAGTCAGGCGCATCTGTGGGCAGGAACAAGTATTTGACGCACGCTGCCGCTAGATTCGTTTTCCAGCCGAGCAGCAGACCTAAATATGAACGCGTTCATGAACTTGAACGTGTTGTGCCTGATTGTTCCTAATCCCTGTCCCTGTCGTGCCTGATCGTTCATTGAACGCGTTCAGGCACAACACTGACCGTTATTTAGTAGCTGGATTAAACATGGTTAAAATGCTAGCCAAACAGTGTAAAGTGTGACTGTATTTCACTGTAGACTAAAAGCTCCAACAGTGGGATGCCGTTGTCTGAAGAACAACAGACGGATGGTGCGTTGTGGTGCATTTAAAGTTTTTGTAAAATATAATTTTCCCATCTGATGGTTGTTTTTGTCGTTCAACAGCAATTTACTAGTGAAATACGTTATTGTTAGAAGTTAAATTAAATCAAATATAATAAATCTTATATATATAAAAAAGTAAATCATTTAAAGTTTTTTTTCTCATTTTTTGTGATAATTAGGTTATATCCATTTGTCTTTGTCCATCAACAAACAAAACAAACCAAAAATACATGTTTCAGGACATTTTTTGAGAGGATAAAATGTTTTTGTTGAGAAAGTTTGTCTATGTTAAGTAATTATCATTTCTTTTACACTTTATCTTTCAAATAGAGGTTAAAAACCAAGCAAATAAGCCAAAATAAATCGGCAACATTAATCGGCCATCGGCCGACCCGGATTTCAAAAGATCGGTATCGGCAACGGCGTGAAAAAAACCATATCGGTCGACCTCTACTTACAACTGAGGAAAAAACCAAATGAGTCATCGTGAAGAGGTAAAAACACCGCAAGAAGTGCTCAAAATACTAAGTTCAGACATTGCTCCGAGTAGCATAAGCCAGATAATCAAGGATTTAAAGGAAAAGGAAATTTTTTTTTATTATGTTAAGTACTCACGGAAGAGATGAGTTTTAATTTGTCTTTTGAACACTGACAGGGATTCTGCATTGCGGATGAGGATGAGCAGATCATTCCACCAGCACGGTACCGTGAATGAGAACGTTCTGGAGAGTGATTTTGTGGCTCTCTGTGATGGTACCACAAGCCGTCGCTCATTGACTGATCGTAGGCTTCCGGTGAGGATGTAGACTTGTTGGAGGGAGCTGAGCCAGTGGTCGATCTGTTAGCAAGTGTCAACACCTTAAACTTAATGCGTGCAGCGAGTGGTAGTCAGTGCAGAGACAGAAATAGAGAAGTGACGTGGGCCCTTTTGGGCTCGTTGAAGACAAGATGAGCTGCAGCATTCTGGATCATTTGTAGAGGTTTAGTTGCACAAGATGGACGTCCTGCCAGAAGAGCATTGCAGTAATCAAGCCTAGAAATGACCAGGGCCTTGATGAGAAGTTGTGTTGCATGCTCAGTTATAAAAGGCCTGATCTTCCTGATGTTGTGCATAGCAAACCTGCATGATCGACCTGTCTTTGTAATGTGATCTGTGAAGGTCAGTTGATCATCAAAGATTACTCCAGGATTTCTGACTGACCTTGATGGGGTGATTGAGGAAGAATCTAGCTGGATAGTGAAGTCGTGCTGTTGAGACAGATTGGCAGGGAGGATGAGAAGCTCACTCTTAGCCAGGTTGAGCTGCGGGTGATGTTCCTTCATCCATGACGAGGGAACCCCTGTAGTCAGTTGATGTGCTTTGGACACCTCACCTCTCCATGTGACCCTGAAGGACCTACCGGTGAGATATAGGACTCAAACCAGTGGAGAGGAGTACCTGTGATGCCCAGTAATGAGAGAGTGGACAGAAGGATCTGATGGTTCACAGTGTCGAATGCAGACAGATCAAGGAGAATGAGAACTGATGATTTGGAAGCAGCTTTTGGATCTGCAGGGCTTCTGTGACTGACAGGAATGCAGTCTTGGTTGAATGCCCTTTCTTGAAGCCAGATTGGTTGACATCCAGCTGGTTGTTCAGAGACAGTAAAGACTTGGTTGAAAGCAACTCGTTCAAGTGTTTTCG